AACACGATGGGTTATTCCAGATTAACAAACAAAAGAAAATCCTTCAAAACGCAACGGCCCTATTTTGTTCTCGTTCCTTTAACCCTTTGAGAACCGGAGGGCGTTGTCCGGGGGAGGAGAGGGTGGGGTCGAGGAGAGGGAGGGAAGAATGTCCGACCAACAAACAAGCGAATGGTTATTTCGGTTGTGTTTTTGCTTCCTGTTGACATGATATTGTGCAATAAAAAAAACAATGGTAGCTGATGCCAAGCACCACAAGCGCACGTGGCAAAGCCTCAATTATATTGTAATTTTGTTTTATTTAAGTGACTTGATGCCTCGAGAGCCCTCACAGGATTGGCGCTGTACTGTATTTCTCGTCAGGGCAGCAGAGACCTAACAATACTGTGTGTTATTCTTAAAGCCATAGTACAGTAGCTCTTAAAGGGGTCGTATTTATTCCCTTATTTCATTATTCCCTTTCTGTGATTACTTTCCAGCATTTCATATTGAGCCTGTGTGTGTTTATGTGAGTGTCTGTACATGTATTTTGTGGGTTTTGTGTATTTAACTGTGTGTGTACATATGGGTGTGTGCATGTGTGTGTGTGTCTGTGCATATGTATTTGTATGTATATATATATCCTCCCGAATGATGCCGTATAAATGTAAATTCGCACTGCACTGTAGATTTCTGTGTATGTGTTTGTGTATGTGTGCGTATATTTCTGTGTGTACTTATTATGATTGAATTGGGCCATCATGTTTCTAAATACCTCGCAAAAATCACCTTTCACAATTTTTACATTTTTTTGATATCAAAAAAAAGCAAATGAAATAAGCGCAGAATTCGAGGAGACTGTGGAACATAGCAAACACCATCTGGAAGGCTCTTAAAAAGAGATACTGCAGCTTATAAAAAAGTTGCCAAATCAGTTAAACGTTTATCTGTCCATATTTCAGATAAATTTCAGGCTACAGTATCGGTTTAATAAAAACGATATTAAATTAATGCAACTTTGCATATTAAAATGAAATCAGGTCAGTGAGCCATTCTGCAGCAGAACTGCATAAGAAACATCGCCTTTTTAAGTGAACAATTCTTCCCTCGCTGAGGAGCCCAAGTATGCCACAAAAATGTAACTTGGCAGATAAAGTGTGGAAAACATTTGCCTTCTTTATTTACTCGACTTTCCCTGCGCGTTTAAAGTTATTATGTAGATTTCATTTCATTTCAAATATACTTTTTCTAAAAAAAATTAACCTTCTGTGGGCCAAAGAAAGATAAATAAAAGTCTCTTTAAAAGGAAAATTTCACTTTTCCTCAGTAATTCATTCATGTCTTGCAAGGAAAATAGAGGAACTGTTACCTTTCCCTCCATTAACACATCTCCCTCAAACACAATTAAGTTTCCCTTGTTACTTACTGTAAACACATGGACTTTATTAACTTACAAATAATTAAATATTAAATATTAAAGGTTACCCAATAAAATCAGTTGTTTTTTAAGTTCAAACTCCACGATCACTGTTCCATCACTAAGATAACTTCAGACCTGAACAACGCCTTGAGATGTCCTCCTGACGTGAAAGCGCTATCCAAATATAATTTGTTGTTGTCATTGAACAGCCGCTGCTGATCTCGACACCGATGATCCCACGCCAACGATTTCTACTTTCATTCTGCTGTCACTTGACTATCAACACCGTTACTGCTTCAGTCCTACACAGACTCCAGCCTCTGTTCCAAAGCTTTCCTGCTCTCTCCTCTCCTTTTAAAAACTCTGGTTTCTTTGTACAAAGTCCCTGAGGAAAGTCTTCACGTTCTGCCTTGTGGCTAACTTCAGCTCCTCTATTTGAACGACAGATTGCCTCCACAGATATTCCCCTCAAAGAGAAGTCTTGTGAGCAAATTTGGGGGATTATTTCTGGGGCTAAAGTATTGTCTCGCCTTTCCTTCCCGCCTCCCCCCCCCCCCCACCCCCACACACACAAACACGCACTTCCCAATGAAATTCACAACTGGCAACAACAGCAAACCTCAGGTCAGGCCTAACAAGCAGTGATATTAATGCTATTGAGGTTTGATTATGCACTGACAAAGCACTGTCACTGTAAATAAGACCCTTAAGAACGAACCCAGAAGTGCAGACCATCTGTGGGAAATGGGTTTGTGAGTGGTTCCTTGTGTTTAACTCAGTGTACGGACGCACTGTTGGGTCCTTACGAGATATTTTAAAGTATAACCTGACCACAAACTGGAAGCTCTTAGACCACTGACTAACTGGTTGTGTGAAGGGAAAAAGGTCAACGGACTAATAAACTGATGTATCTTTGATGCTGGCTGGCATTATTTTCGCCACCAATACTGCAGTTGCCCAATTTTTTTTGCATTGACTTCCAAAGACTGCATCATGCTCTCTTGCAGTTGTGGTGTCTTTGCTGAAAGGCTCATATGTAACCCACGACAACACAGAGCGCTCCTGATTCAGTGCGACTAACCATTAAATTGCCGCACGAGTGTTATACACAGTGCATTATAGACTACACACTGGAGAGGAGTGTGTGTAAAGTCTTTCCGTGGTAGCAGAACTAATTTATTTAGAGAAATCTTGGCATATTTACAATAATGGGACATTTTAAAGGACATTTATATTGGTTAAAGTCCCTCAGTCGGTAACTAATGAGGTGCTAATCTGACCCATTCAGATGAACAATTAATGGCTGAGCATTTTTGCAAAGGCAAGAAAAAAAATATACACGTGAGCCATTAATCTGCAGCTGAAACATGGCTCTGTGCTTAGAGACTCCGTACACAGGCCTTCACACACCTGAACGACAGCATTGAGCAGCAATGGGATGACAAGAGAACTTGACGAAGGGGGAGTCAGTGGATTGAAGTGGGCCTCTTCAACAACAACAAATTACATTTACACAGCGTCTGCCTTTCACGCAGGGAGGACGTCCCAAGGCGCTGGACAGTCAGGGATCTGGACCCGAGCTGGGGTTTGGGGTGGAGAGCAGGCCGGGTTGGAGTAGGAGGGTGATCGAAGGCGCAGTCGAAGAGGAGGGTCTTGAGACGTGCCTTGGATGAGGCAAGGGAAGGAGTGAGGCGAAGGGATGGAGTTCCAAAGGGTGGGGGCAGAGAGGCTGATGGCCCGAACATTGATGGTGGGGAGGGCTGGGTGGGGGAACGTAGGTAGATATGGAGTTAGCAGGTCACAGAGTGACTCAATGAAACATTGGTGGTTGGGTACAAGAGGCTGTAGGTATAAAGACATCTAAAGTATCTCCTTTCAATCAATCTCAATAAGCCTATACTGAGCGCTCCGAGACACTGCCCCAAATGAAGGGAGCGATACAAGTGCAAGTTGTTGCTGTTGTTGTATTGACACACACCAACGACACAGTATTGAGGCCTTCAATATCTTTGCTTTGATGATTTCAGTTCGAGGTTATTTTTGATAACAATTCTGATTTGATGCGTGTTATGGGTTTGATAAATAAACGAGGAGAAATAATTTTCGTGAGGCGCCGTTCGTTCATCACCCAGGGACCCCCTCACCGCGCCGCCCCCCCCCACCCCCCAAAAAACGTCAAACAGCCTTATAATCTAATCAAAATCCTTTGTTTTAAATACAGTATTAAAAAAATAACTTTGCTTGAAATTGTCTTCATTCTATCTATCTATCTACAAAGAAAAAAAGGAGGGTTCGAAACGTGTCGAATTAAAGTGTTAAAAAAGGTAACTGTTTCTGGAACAGAAATCTTTCCCCCCCCCCCCCACACCCTGATCCTCCTCCTACTACTCTCCCTCCCCCTCCCCCTTCCCACCGCACCCCCAAGAAAATAGCCAAAGAAAGAAATGGAATGAAGGAAGCGAGGATCTGCCGAGAGCAAAGCGGAGTGCGGTCGATTAAAACGTCTTCAGAGTGGAAACAAGAGCACTTTTTCTTTCAGGGGAGGAACAACAATAAAAAGGGAACGGACGAGGGTGGGGGGGGGGGGGGGGGTGGGACGGGAAAGTTTGCTGGGTGCGAGGGCGAGCGCAAAGGCTGTCTGTCCATTTACACAGTCCGTACTCTGGGCGCGAGCGCACACTCGCGACGAAAAATAAAAATAATAATAATAATAATAATAATCATCATTTTTGAAGCATCTGTTTCTCACGTCTCCTCATCGGGTTCCGCTGTTCGGTATCAGACGGCTTTCCTGCCTTTGTGTAGTCTTCACTTGCACACTCTTGCTATATCATATTTTTACACTGCGGCTCAAACAGGGGGGGAAAAAAAAATCTGCTTGGGGGTTCTCCGTATCTTATACCGTCTCGTTGGCTTTTCCTTCCCCCCCCCACCCACCCCCCCACACACCCCCCCCAAAAAAAAAATCCCCCCCAAAATAAAAATGAAAACAATAAGATTTAGCAGACATGCACACACGCACACTCACACGCACAACCAAGGATTGCTCGGTAGCAAAGGGATACCGAAATTTTACATTGAAGCCCAACTCCATAAACGTTGGGTTCTAGATTTTCTCTCTCTCTCTTTCTTTCTCTCTCTCTCTCGCTCTGCATATTAAAATGATTTAGTTATGTTGGTCGAGTTGTAAACATCTTACAAGGGAACAAGTTCATTCTACTCCTGCGATCTCCAATATCTTGAAGGACAACCGATTTGTTCGTATATATATATTTTTCTCTCTCTCTCTCTCTTTCGCTCTCTCTCTCTTTCTCTTTCGCGAGCGCGATCACAATCCGTTTCGTTCCCTTTGACTCGTTTCGGGCGCAGAATTGCTGCCGTCAGCTGGTCTGGAAGCATCTGTGTGGATAGAGGAAGCTTGCAGCGCTCACTGAGTCTCTGGAGTTGATGTGAATGGAGCACGTAGGCTGCACTACACATTCCCGCCCACCCACCCCCTCGCCCGCCCCCCCCCCCCCGCCGCCCCCTCCCACCTCCGTTGCCCCCTCCACTCCTCCATCCCCCCTCCCAGCACACCCTCTCTCCTTCATCCACTGAGGTGCGTCCGGAGTTATTGTTAATAATTCGACTACCTTTCGCTGAGGACAAATTGTCGTCCTGGATTATTCGGAGGACAGCGTCTCTGTATCTTCGGGAGGAAGAGGAGGAGGAGGACGGGTTGAGAGGAGGGGAGAGGGGGGAAGGGCGAGAAGGGGGAAATGGGGAGGAAGTTCCCCGGATTCTCAGCTACAGCCCTGCCGTATGGTTGTCCCCGTTTGCGTGTGTGTTTCGGGGCATGGTGTCAGGGCTGCTATCCGAGTCCGTGTTCGTGTTAGAGTCTTCGTCGTCTTCGTCTTCGTTCGGTTCCTCATCCTGCGTCACCTCGTTCTCGTTCTCGTCCCCGGCTCTGGCAGACCCTGGGGCGGCGATGTCGGCGATGGCGGAGACGTCCTCCTCCTCCTCTTCCTCCTCCTCCTCCTCCTCCCGCTGCTGCTGGGCCGTAGCTCCCGGCTCCGCTCCTGCCTCGTGGGGCTTCCTGCTCAGGTCCAGCGAGTCGTTGAGTCCGAGGCCGGCTGCGTTTTTGAGGAAGAACAAGGAACCGTCGGCGACGGTGCTGAGGTTTAAGGAACCGTCCAGGTTGAGGGAGGAGCCCTGGGAGTCATACTCCATGGTGGCGCTGACGCTGGCGCAGGCGGCGCTGGTGGGGCCGCCCTCGCGGGGGTTGGGCGAGACGGACGAGACCTCCCCCCTCTCCTGCTTCTCGTGCTTGCGTTTGTGGGAGTCCATCTGGGACATGCCCACCACCGTGTGCTTGCAGTCGGGGTAGGTGCAGTGGAAGTGGGAGCACTTGAGTTTGTACTTGCAGTCGGGCACCTCGCAGTCCACGCTGGAGCTGAACTGGCAGAAGCCGGCGGCGCTGATCAGGTCCTGCTTGCCGTGGTGCTTGCGATGGGCGGTCACCTTGGTGCTGTCCGTGCAGCGGAACCCGCAGCGCAGGCAGTGGAAGTGGGTGCTGTTGCCGGAGAACTGGCAATCCGCAAAGTTGCACCTCAGGGAGGACTTGAAGCGCTTGAAGTCGTCCAGGACCAGGTTGTCCACCCTGTCGTGGTGCTGGGCGTGCTTGTACATGTGCGTGCGGCCGCAGAACTTGTAGCCGCAGTTCTCCCTGGTGCAGTGGTAGTGCGTGACCTTCAGTGAGAACTGGCAGGCCCCGTCCTTGCAGTCCTCGTAGAGGTCGTAGCGCTTGAAGCCCTCCAACATCATCCCCTCGTCCAGCATCTTCCTGGACGAGGCCGTCTTGCGGCGCTTCCCGAAAGGGGACATGTCCTCAATGATCCAGAATCTCTTCTTCGCGCCCGAGGCAGTCGGGAGAGAGATTGTGTTCCCTGGAAGAACGAGAGGAGCAATGTCAATGGCTGCGCTTCTGAGGCCTCCGTTGTAATTGGGTTTGATCGTTGTGGCACGATAATAATATTGATAATAAACCCTGCGTTTGCTTTAGCGCCTTATCACGTCTTCGAGACGTCTCAAAGCGATTCCACAGGACGTTCTGGGAAGCGACTGGGTAATTTGTGGCCGAAAGGCGGCATCCAATTGCGCACAACGGAGTCCCACAAACACTCACGGAAGGATTGAACAAATTCTTATGATTATTATTTGATTATTTTGAACACGTCCTGTGGAGCTGTGAATTTTCAGCGCTGTCACAGGTACAGCCTAGGCATTCGAATGCTCTTATTTACCAGTGATTCCCCCACTTCCCCCCCATACACCCCCAACATAGACACCCCTGGCCTCTTAAAGGGAGAGAAAAGTCCTCATCTACTATCTTGACAAGTTGCCGCCAAACTCAGGCTCAGTTATTGAATGGAAACTTAAATTCAGGGGCTCGAAATTCATCGCAAGTCGTGATCTCAGGGCCATAGACGTAAAATTCAAGATTTTGCAGAATTTAGTAAAATCCTCTCGTTTCCAAAGTCTCAAAGTTTGTGAGTTGATATTTTCACGATTCGTGAGACCACCTGATGAGAGACTCCTTTACGTGAGGAATTTGGAGTTTCTGTTTATAGGAACATAGGAACAGGAGGAGGCCATTCAGCCCCTCGAGCCTGTTCCGCCATTCTATTAGATAATGGCTGATCTGTATCTCAACTCCAAATACCCGTCTTGTTCATCAGTATCTCCCCCCATCCCCCATCAGCTCTCTCTACCTTCCCCTTTTCCACCAGCAGGCAAGGCAAAGATGAATGGAACGACTGCAGCATTTTTTGTAAACTCTATTCGGTGGCCAAACACACATTTTCGCACATTAACCAGGACCAAGTAATAATAATAATAATCCTTTCATTTGATGTAGCGCTTTTCACGTCGGGAGGACGTCCCAAAGCGCTTCACAGAACACACTGTAAAGTGAATTGACTGTATATTTGTGGGCGAACGCGGCAGCCAATTGTACACAGCAATGTCCCACAAACAGTCGTAGATTGAAAATGACCAATTTATTATTGTTTTTGGTTTTGGAGGGATTATTATTAGGCTCTGTGTGGAGTAAGGAAACTTGCCCAAGGTTTCGCCCTCTGCCTGGAATTGAACTCAGGTCTCTCACTTGCAAAGCGAGTGCTCTAACCACTGAGCTACAGGACTCCAGTAGGGTCCAGACAAAGCGCTTAGACCTTGCAGATCATCCAGAACTCTGCAGCTCGTGTCCTCTCCCACACCAGGCTCCGTGACCCTTTTGCCCCCACCCTCGCCCGGCTCCACTGGCTCCCCATCCCCCAGAGGGTCCAGTTCAAAATCCTCATCTTCGCCTTCACAGGCCTCCACATCCTCACTCCTCCCTACCTCTGTGACCTGCTAACACCATATCAACCTGTCCGCTCCCTCCACTCAGCAGGTTCCGGCTAGCTCCCCAAACCCGGCCCACCCCACCATGGGCAGTCGAGCCTTCAGCCTCCCTGTCCCTACCCTTTGAAACTCCATCCCACAGTCCCTTTCCCTCGCTCCCTCCCTTTGCCTCCTTCAAGGCCTGTCTTAAGACCCTCTCTTCGACCGCGCTTTCGGCCACCCTCCTACCCCTGCTCTCCGCACCCTCCACCCCTCCTGATCCCAGCCCCCAGCTCGGGTCCGATGCCTGACTGTCCAGAGCCTTGGGACGTCCTCCCGACGTGAAAGGCGCCGTGCAAATGTCATTTGTTGCTGTTGTTATTTGCGAGTACCTGCGGCATCCTGCACTATCGGGACATCGCTTTTAATCGGACTGGGAGCAGCAATGATGGTACTGGTCGGGAGGACAATATTCCTGGCGCTTCCGAGTGTGGCGTTGAGTAGAGAGTATGAGAGACAGGATGGAGAGAGAAGGTATGGAAGTGAAGTAGGAGGGGAAGGTCTGAGCAGGGCTTGTGGGAAGGATGGAGGTGGTAGATTGTGGAGAGCGTCAGCCACACTAACGACCGGGCAGCCTAAGAGAACGTTCGAGAAAAGGCAGAAGGAAGGAAGAGAACAAAAAAAGAAAAACTGAAATGAAACACCACAGCCAAGCACGACAAGTGAAAAAAACGATGAAAATGGAAAAAGCAGTTTTCTTTTTTTTAAAAAAAAACAAAAAACGTCAAGTTAAATGCAGTAACGTTGAGAACAATCAGGGAGAGGGGATGGTGGTGGGGTGGGGGACGGGGGTAGAGGGTGGGGGGGGGAACAAAGGAAAGTGCCACCTGCGGAGTGTTAATTATCACATCAATCGGAGAAAAATGAGCTTGATTTGGTCAATGAATGATTGAAATCGTTGGCTGGTCCATTGGTTGTGACCTTCCCTCTCACCCACCAGCCCCCACCCCTGTGTGCTGACACCTATAGGGTTTAGACTGGGAATAGTTTTCACTGATGTGACAATTAGCACCCCATGTGTTACTTGTTACTTAACATGTGATAACATCGCGATTTGAACCCTGGTATAAATTGTGCAGTAGGACTCTGCCTATTTGTGCAACCTCTTGTTGTCTTCATTTGGGGGCTGAAATATGGTGACTAAATAAGCTCACAATTCTCGCTCTACTCTTGTAATTCTTGCTCTCACGTTAGTCACCGAAACCCAGAGATTGGTCATTAGCCCTCCATGACCCAGGTTAGACCTCAGGGAACTACTCACTCACTGTGCTCTGTAATGATTCAACATCCACCTTTGACCAGCAAGACATCAGCACGTTGAATATTAATAAAAATAATCCTTTCATTTGATATAGCACCTTATCACATCGCTGAGGCGTCTCAAAGCGCTTCAAGAAAATACTGTAGTGTAGTGACTGTATATTTTGTGGGAGAAACGTGGGGGTCAATTGTGCACAGCGGTGTCCCACAAACTGTCGTGGATCGAGTGACCAAATTATTATTGTTTTTATGTGTATTTTTTAACGGATTATTATCCTGGAAAAGCGATACGCCAATCGACTAACAACTGAGTTCCTATTTACTGCTGTGTAAACAAGGGCGCGTGGAGAAAGGAAACAGCGCCTTATCGTGTCTTTGAGACGTCTCAAAGCGCTTCACAGAATATACTGTAAAGTGAATTGCCTGTGTTTTTTGTTGGGGGGAAAACACAGTCCTATGAGTCGGAGTATTGTGCATCCAATTAATACTGAATAGAATGATCTCTACAGCACTGACACAGGCCTTTCAGCCCGACCGGTCAGCGCTGGTGTTTGCACTGGATGCTGGAAGGACTGTGGGTTAGACTCTTACCGGCTGAATTACTCTCATTGCCAACTGGAGTGCTGGTGCAACTGCGGTCCGGTGCGGAGGATTCAGAGGAGTTGCCGGCCGGGCTGGTGCCTGCTGGGTAGTCCATGTATTCATCTGTCTCTGTGTCCATCATGTTGGGGGGCACCAGCATTGAGGAGGAGCCTGTAGCAGCGTTCACATTGCTCATGGAGGACAAGTCGTCGCTCCTGGAGTCCTGGGGAAAGAACTGGAGTCAAGGAGACCAAATGTCACATCTGCCAGAGACTCACCCTCAGGGTAAGCATGCAAAACTAGTCTCTTTTACTGGTGTTTGCAGTGGGGATGGTTGGACTTTGATGGAGAGCAAAGCCAGTTCTACATAGAATCTTACAGCACAGAAAGAGGCCATTCGGCCCATTGTGTCTGCCTTTGCTGGCTCTTTGAAAGAGCTGCCAACTAGTCCCACTCCCCCCATTCTTACCCCATAGCCCTGCAAATTTTTCCTTTTTAAGTACCTATCCAATTCCATTTTGGAAGCTACTATTGAATCTGTTTCCACCACCTTTTCTGGCGGTTTATTCCAGACCATAAAAACTCTCTGGGTGAAAAAAAAATTGGTTCTTTTGCCAATTATCTTAAATCTGTGTCCTCTGGTTACCCACCCACCCGCCAGAGGAAACAGTTTCTCCCTATCGACTCTATCTCAATACCCCGCATAATTTTGAACACATCTATTAAATCTCCCCTCAATCTTCTCTGCCAAATCTCAGCGTCTCTAGTCTCTCCACATAATTGTAGTCAGTCCCTCATCCCTGGTATCATTCTTGCAAAATTCCTGGTATCATTCTTCCACAATATCTGCTGTGGAACTGCACAACAACAACTACTACTACTTGCAATTATACAGTGCCCTTTACATGGGATAATGTCCAAGGTGTGGTGGGTGTGACTTGACAGCGAGATGCTCCAAATCCCTGACTGTCCAGCGCCTTGGGACGTCCTTCCAACGAGAAAGGCACTGCGTAAATGTAATATGTTGTTGTTGTGGTGGTGGTGGTTGTTGACGTTGTCGCTCGGTTTTGTGCTTTGCAATGTTACGGCTGTGTGGGTGCTATGAAAGTCGGGAAACTCTCCTTCACGTTGCCGTTCTCCTGGACGTTGATGCTGTATAAATGCAAGTTGTTGTGGTGGTGGAGGTGGTGGTTGTTCTCAGCCCGGAGAAGGTGGGTTTACCTGGGTGGGGATCTTGTCGAAGTTTTTGCCTAGCATTCGCCTCATGTGCTTGCGGGAGTGTGACGTCATCTGGTGCTTGAGCAGGAAGGAGAACTGGCAGCCCTCGCGGATACAATGGAAGTGGCTGTTTACCTGGTTGTATTTACAGCCTGTGGACGACACCAGGGGAGAGGAGAAAAATACAAATAATGTCAGGGTGCTCGCTCGCAGTGGAAACTGTTATCAGGATGGGCAGGTACCAACTCGCCTATTTCCATAGCAGCCTGGAGTGTACACAATGATGTGTCATCACGTCGCTTTGTTTCACTATGGGCTATCACATTAAACACACAGAGTTGAGTAAATAACAGTAACGGCAAAATATTAGACACTTTGCAATCAGATATCTTAGTAACACGGCGGCCTGTTTACAGCAATTGCCATAGATACCGTGACCTACTTTAGCACTCGGCCCATATATGGCAGGCTGAGAAGAATTTGTGTGTTTCCCTTGATCTGGCTCGGGAATCACTTGGGTCTCGTGTTTTTTTTCTTTTGAAATCTTACTTCGCGTTGAACCGGTCTGTACGACAACAGCTTCTCTCGAGCAAAACGCGGGACCCAAAAATTGGGGAAATGGAATTCCGCGTGGGACGAGACAACGGTTAAAGGCTTGACGTTTTAGCTCTGTGACGATTTGATCAGATAAAGGGTTTGGGGGCTGTGATGGAAACAGTTTGGGCTTTTCCAATCAACTGGTTGTCAGCTTGTTGAAGCTGCGATGTAGTCACGACCACTTTATACTGATAGAAAGTGAGGCAGCATCTGCATAACAAATGCAGCCCATGCGTGTTGGTAAAGGTGTCGGAAGTGATAGTGTAAACAGGAATGGGGAGGATTTGTTACCTTGCTAAAGGCTTTGTCACCCATCATAATGCCGTTGCACATTTCTGAGGCTTCAGATAACGCCATGAGTGAAATGTGTGGCAATTTCCAGGAACCCAAGTGTGGGGAATATAATAATACTTGCATTTGATATAGCGCTTTTCACGTCTACTCGACGTCTCAAAGCGCTTCACAGAATATGCTGTAAAGTGAATTGACCGTATATTTGTGGGCGAAACGCGGCAGCCAATTGCACACAGCAGCGTCCCACAAACAGTCGTGGATTGAAATGACCAATTTATTATTGTTTTTTTTTGAGGGATTATTATTAGGTGCGTGGAGTAAGGAAACTTGCCCAAGGTTTCGTCCTGCCTGGAATTGAACCCAGATGTCTCGCTTGCAAGATGTGTGCTCTACCCACTGAGCTACAGGACTCCAGTTACCAAAAGTACATTGGTATTGCGGGAACTCCGGTCTGAGAATAGACTTAGTAGGAGCAGAGATCCTGTGAGTTAGAGTGTTGCACTTACACTTACTGATTACTTAGAATTGTTTGTTCAGCATTGAAACTCCTTTCAGCCCAACTTGTCACTGCTTGTGTTATCAATTCCATCACAACCTCCAGCCCTGCCCTCTGACATATCCCCTCTAGCCCTTTCTCCCTCACGTTGGCATCAGCTTTGCTCTTAAGTATGTTCACGCTATTTGCTTCAGCCTTGGTTCGGGCAGTGAGTTCCACATTCTCGCCACCCTCTGCGTGAAGAAGTTCCTTCTAAACTTCCTGTTAGATCTGCTGCTTGCAATCCATATGGATTGATATATATTTCATAACTTATACGGTCAAACCTGTCTTCAACAACCACTTAAGGGAATGGGCCAAAGAGGCCTTTATATAAAGGTGGCCTCTGATCAAGGGTTTAATTGCGTGTGAACTAGGATGTCCAGGTGGTTGTTAACAGGGAGTGGTTGCTAAACGGAGGTGGCTTGAAAAGGTTTGACTGTATTGCTGTAGCTTCTTCTGTTTAGCCTCCAGCAGTTAACCCCACAACGCACACTCTGGGGTCCCCCCAAGTCTTGGCTCTTGTCAACTGGGTGCCTAATACTTTCCGGAATTGGGTAAGCAGGATACGTCCCTTCGGGGGGCGGGGGGTGGGGGAGAGAGTGCATTCCATTCCAACAATCTATCTCTGGGATTTCCATGTGTAGGTGAGACATAAGGAATTCTCAGTCGTGTTTGGACACCCTTAAGCATGGGGATGAGTTTCCGCATGTGTCAGACACCCAGCTGACCCCCTCCCCCCAAAAACCGCCCCCACAAATGTAGCCTATTCTCACCCAGCCGCCCGCACTCCTCACGTTTGGTGAAGTACTTGAATCCGTTGGCGGCCCGCCGCTCCGCCTTCTCGTGCTTCTTGATGTGCCAGGGGAGTTTTGTGGTGATGTTGGTGACAAAGTTGCAGCCTGGTCGTAAACAGTGGTAATGTCCTCTCATCCGGAACTCACATTGCTGAAATGAAAAGCCCAGAGTGGTTACCGCACCACACATAAGGTTGATGTGCGTTTCCAGCGCTCTGGGACGCTGCCCTGCGCGAGTCGGGGGGGGGGGGGGGGGGGCGCTACATAAATGCAAGTTGCTGTTTGTATATGTGGAAACCGTTTTGGGATTGTGTGGAAACGCACGTCGACTGCTCCTACGCCTTCGCTTGAAACCTACGAATGGAAAGCTTTGTGCTGAGCTCTGAAGGTGAAGGCGGCCATTCTCACTATGAATATGGATTTGAATGTCTGTGAACCACAGGCTCTGCCTGAGAACTTTACAGACTCTATCTCGCTGTCTATCTGCCTTGGCTTGCTTGGTAGTTCTGACTGTTCCTCGATTGTCCACTGTCAGACCCAGACACAAAGTTTTTTTTTATATATCTGATCGTGGCATTTCTGCTGCTTCAGGAATCAGTCAGTCGCTTGCCAAACCAACAAGGTAACAAGTATTAACTCACTTCCTCAACTCCACAAAGACATGAAGCCTTACTTTATTCATAATTGAACAGGGATTTTCTCCAGTGGACGAGCTGGCTGAAACGCACCACAAGCAAGAGGCTTGGAATTCCACCTAGTCTTAGTCTGCAGTCCCTACCCTCCTTGCCATTGAGAAGACTCAAAGCGCTTCACAGGATATACTGTGAAGTGGATCTGCTGTGTATTTTGTGGACAAATCTATAACATTAGGGGCAAATAAAACTAATACTAACAATCCTTGCATTTGATACAGCACTCTTCACATCAGGAGGATGTCTCCAAGTGCTTCCCAGGGTACACTGTGAGATGTAGTGACTGTGAAGGTTGTAGGTAAATGTCCACAAAATGTTCATGTTTTGCCCAAAAAACATACAGTTAATTTACTTGACAGTATATCCTGTAAGGGGCTTTGAGACGTCAAGGATTGTTATTATTATTATTATTATTATTATTATTATTATTATTATTATTATTATTATTATTATTATTATTATTATTATGTCTTCCAATGTGAAGACATTCCAGTGAAGATGATGCCTTTTCTGGTCTGCTTACCTGATTTGGGCAGAGGCACTGAAGAGAGTAATAGGCAAACTGGTCACGGACATTGACTAAGTTGTTGTTGGGGTTGATGTGGTCCAGACAGTGGGATTCGGCTTTCCCAGACGTCTTGCACACGTACTTGCAGTTTCCGAACAGACAGTGGAAGTGGAACTTGTTTGCGTACTTACAATCCGTGGCCAGGCAGGGGTCGCTGTGGAAAAAACAAAGGACGGTCAGATCAGGGAGAGAAATCGACCCCTTCCGCCCCCCCACCTCCCCCCAGAAATTACTCAGTCAAATCAGTGGGACGTTTGGTGTTTATCGCACTGAATTTATCCGTTTGCTGATTTGTAACCGCCTTGTGCTGGTGTTTCTACTCTACAAGAGCCTCCGTCCATCCCTCCTACACAGTAACCCCTCCATTCCCTTCTCCCTCATGTATAGGCATAAAGTTTTCTCTGAAACACTGGTGACGTCTCCTAATTGCTCCAGTCTCTTCGGCGGTCAGAACCCTGAGCCCTTGGTGACCGTATGCTGATTGGCTCGGGGACCTGCGTATCTCCTGTACGGTTCGTGGGCCGGATGAAATCATCCCCGCTGGGCGGGATGCAGGCCGCCAGTTAGACCACCCTGTTGTGAGACCCTCTTGTTGCTTCTCCCAGACATCAGTCGGAGTTAATGTTTATTAAATGCTCTTGGTACGAAATATCCCAAATTCGACCCCAGTGATATCTAGTCCCCAAGATCGTCCTATAAATCCCTCCCAGCTGCCAGGGCTGTTCCCTAATAACAAGTGTGCTTTGTGATCTTTAGTTAGTCGCCATTGCAAACCCACAGTGACAGTCTGACATTTAGAGCAGCCTCACATCCTTTGGAATGACTGATGAATGCATATTACAAACCCTTGTGATGTAAGAAAGTTCAGAATATCAATCACTTCAGTCCTCAGTGAGATACTGAGTGACTTGAGTCACTGTGAAAAAAACACGAGACGCTTTGCCACATGCATGTCCGACCATGACTTACATGGGAGGAGTGACGTGTCCATGGAATCAGTGGAGTTTGTTGGGAAAAGACCGAGGATGGGAGTCTTATATATTCCGCCAGGATTCCCTCACGTGGCCACGAGTGAATTGTTATTTGTATCAAAAGACAATAAAGCCTTGATTTACTGCGGAGTAAATCCTTTTCAGCGATGTGAAGGTTTCCTGATGTTATTTCAGTTTAAAGGTACGGTTGTCTTTACCTTTCTGTAACACATCTCCGGCTATCCTTGCACTGAGCAACAAGTGACATCCCTGTGAGGCCAATAATAACTCGAGGTAACCCTTTCTACCCCAGGCTAGTGATACTTACTGAGTGCTTTTGACCCTAGTTGTAATCGACGTACTAATTATTACTGGTGACAACATTGCATGCCGCCATTTGGCTTGCAGGGTTAAGAGGAGATGAGTGGGAGGATTCCCTGCCCCCAGTCACTGATCTGCTCATCCAGGTCCTGCTGATGAGCCATGCTGGGCTGTGCCCTGGAGTATTGTGGACCTGACTGGCTCTGGAACCGGACTATCGAGAGAGATATTCCGACATTCCGATGCCAAACACGTGGAGCCAGTTCTGCCTTGAGGAGAAACCCCTTACCTTCCCCACCCCACCCCCGGGAGGAAGTGAACGACTGTGACCAGGGACGTGATGTTAAGACGTAATCTTCTTAATGACCCTGATTTCGTAGGTAGGGGCCGAGCCGGGATCTCAGGCTGTTCGGGTAGAGCTTGTACTCACTTCTCTTGAAACTGGAGGAAACCTGGTTTGACTTGGGGCTTGGCGTTCTCCAGGGAGGTGGTGGCCAGGGGAGACGACACGATGGTAGACAATGGGATCGGCGGGATGGAAGCTGCCAGATGTTTCCAGGTCAGCAACGTGGGGGCGGAGGTGACGACGGCTGGACTCCCCGCGGAGACCTGCATGGCCGGAGCGGAGACCATGGCGATGGAAGCGAAGGAGGTGGCGGTGGGAGCTCGGCTCTCCATAGGAGCGGAGGAGGAGAACAATGATGGCTCCGACTTGACTTTCACTGCTCCACCATCAGCTCTGAAGTGGAAACTGCGATGGAAACCGGAGGCGTTTGTGTTGGCGACGTGCGCACTTTAGAAGAGTCAGCACCCTCCCCGACTCCCCTTTCCCCACCCCACTCACCACACACACACACACACACATATACACACACACATATACACACACACACACAATCGGAGCATCTCATTGGAATTAAATCTTTGGACCTCTCTCCCCCAATCTCTCCGCTTTGCCCCCTCCATCCCCTCTTTTAGATCACGACTAAAGACCTTCCTTTTCGACCGTGCTTACGGTCACCTCCCCCACCATCCTTTGCTCGTGCTCCGCCACTGTCAAGTGCTCTGGGACGCTACCCTGCGTGAGGGGGCTCTATATAAATGCAAGTTGTTGTTCTGGATTCTGGGGGAACCCAGAACAAGGGGACATCATCTTAAAATAGTTCCTCTGTAGCTATCCTATCGAATCTGCAGCATCTTGCAGCTTCCCCAACGTGATGTCATCAAGGTAATTGGACCTTGGATAACCTCCAGNTTTTTTTTAATCTGCATAAATTATTTAAATAATAAAACCGACTTAAATTAGAATCAAGCCCGGGTCAAAACAAGGTTGTGCAGAAATTTCATAAATATAAACAGAGACGGCGCGAAAGGGAATGGGTCACAGAGACAGAGTGGATTGCGGCACACTTTATTTATGAGGAACGTGAGTTTACGATGATTTATCGACAGAATGTATATATATTGTATTAAAATAAATCGGTGTTTTGGCTTTGACTGTTTGTCTCTCACTATTGTGTGCTGTGCTGCTGGTACTGTATTAATCGTGCCGGTCCCCCACCCTCTCCATCAGTCACTGCACTGGGGCAAATAGAGGGGGCAGAAGCACCAAATCAATAGAGCTGTCATGCTGTCGGGATTTCAGTGTTAGGACCGGAGACATTTTGAGGACAAGAACGAGGCCATTCGGCCGTGAATGCCTATCGCGGCTCTCTGAAAGAGCTATCCAACTAGTCGCACTTCCCCGCTCTTACCCCATAGCCCTGCAAATGTTTCCCCCCACCCACATCGTCTTTACATTTCTAATTCAACGCAAGATTTAGTGCCAACGTATTTCTTTTTGTCAGGATATTGCAATTCTGGTTTGGTGATCATGTGATGTGGAAGGAAAGGATGATTGATTGATTGATTGATTGACAGCTCCCCCTCCTTGCCAATCTTGCCAACAATTGAGGGACGCAAGGCTCTGCCAAAGTACCTGAGGACCTGCTTTTCTTTCCTGCCCAAATTATTATTATTAATAATTACTGACGATTGTTATTCCCCGGGGTAGATTAGCTGCCTCTTTTGCATCATTTCTGAGTCATTGTAGATAGCAAATCCCTTCAAGGAGTTTATTGTTGCGCTGCGTAGTATTGTCTGGAAAGTGTTTGCACGGTTTGTTTGCCCGTAGGTAACACTTACTTGGCATGTTTGATGGCTCCGTCCAAGGTGCTGAACAGGGCCCCACATTCCTCCACCGAGCAGTGGAAATGGGTTTTGTGGAGGAAATCGCACTGGGCCTCGCAGTAGTCGTCAGTCGTGAACCTGGACAAGAGCAGGAGATGGAAAAACATCAGAAGGCTTTCCACAGGCGTTCAATAAAACTCTCCGAGATGCTACCCCACTTAATGGCGCTACAAGCAATTGTGGTTGTTGTTGTTGTAGTAAAGGACCGGGATATAAAGGAAGACCAAATTTTACCTACAAAATACACAGTCAGTTCACATTACAGTATATTCTGTGAAGCTCTTTGAGGTTAGTGGGGACGAGGCGAAGTGGGGGGTGGGGTGTGGGAATGACTGGGGTAGCAGAGGGGTGGAATGGGAGGGGAAGCAGGGGGGAGGGGGGGAAGTGGAGGGGCCGCTCACAGGAATTTTAACGGCAAAACCAGTCCTTGCGTCTACCTTCGCAGGTACTTTTCCCAGAGTTCCACGGGTTTCTCCTGTCGCTGTACGGTCATCACTCTGCTCATGTAGGCAACCTTGTCCAGGTCTGCACAGGCACCACCATCAGGGTCTGGCTTCAGGTTCAGTAACGTGCTGAGCCCACTGCTGGCATGGGAGACCTGGAGAGACACAGCCCAGCACTGAGCCGGTGATAGACATCCAGGCTTGGTATCCTCTCCAACCACCTCACCCCACCCATTTAACTGAGGCAGGTAACTCTGTGACTGAGAGATCCCAGAGGGTCTTGTGAGTACCACAAGCGGTATCCTGTGGGAGCTACAGATTCCCTGCTGTTTGACAACTGACTCTTACCTTATTGAGAAATGAGGATAAGAGGGAGGTGTTTCCTGATTCCACGTGTCCATTGGATTCATTGCTGGAGGAAAAAGAAAGAGCTTTTTCAGACAGGTCTGTCCCAGGATGCCAAATATTAGGCACAGCCGATGAGACACGTTCATGTCCTGTGGTTTGCAGCTTTATTTAACGTTAGAGACATTGGATCAATCCAAGGTGAAATCTAAACCCTGTCCATTCTTCGGGATCAGGCTAATGATCCGACGACAATATTCCCAAAGAGAAGGGAGTTCCTGCCGGTGAATTGGTCATTCACCTCATGGTTGTTTCAGCAGCAGTAACTTGCATTTATATTGTGCCCCCTCACCCCGGGTTGCGTCCCAGAGTGCTAAACAGTGGCGGAGTCTGACCCCGAGCCAGGGGGAGAGGGAGGGGGGAGATGACCGTAAGCACGATTGTTTCAGACAAGGTCCACTGAATAATAATAATAATAATCATCACTGTAGCGTGTTCTAAAGGGGCAATTTCAGGACAGATACCAGGAATCTTTTCTTTACCCAGAGGATAATCAATGACTGGAAGAGCCAGGAAACAGGGCCTCACCCGTGATCCTTCAAGCTGAGATTGAGGCTCTGGTCCTGGGAATGCGTCTTGAGCCCATCGCTTGGCTCCTGCTTCATCTGAACCAAACTGAACTGGTTCAGCTGTGTCGGTTGTCCGTTTCCTGTGAGATAGAGAGAGAAAGAGAAACGAAGCGAGAGAGAGAGAAAGAGAAAGAGTGAGAGAGAGACAGAAAGAGAAAAAAAAAAAGCACAATATAGCTATTGTTGGTCAGCAGTTTTTCCCCCCACCACCCCCCCTCCCTCCCCAGTACTTGACGAGATGCATTCTGACTCCTTCTCAGTGATGGAACAAGCCGAGTGATAATTATTTCAAAATTATGTCAAGCCGTCAGGACTTGAGATGGTGGGCGAGGAGGGAGAGAGCGAGAGGGGGTGGTGGGGGGAGGGAGTGGGGTGGGTGGTGAGAAGAGAATGAGGCGAAAAAGATGTAATTGTCATAACTAATTTGCGGTTGCGCCTCTTATCCGTTCGTTAAACATCATGCTAATGCTGAGGGAGTGTGACAGATTCGGAGTGGGACTTAGGTAGGTAAGGCAACCTTCTTTCCCCCCCTCATCCCTTACCCTCTTTTCAGTGCAGCCAATTGCACACAGCAGTGTCCCACAAACAGTCGTAGATTGAGTGACCAAACTATTATTTTTATTTATTGATTGAGTTCGTTTTTGAAGGGATTACTGCCCCCAGAAAAGCGATCCGCCAATCAATAACGACCGGGTTCCTACTCACTGCGAGGCAAACAGAGGTGTGTTTGTGTGTGTATGTGTGTGTGTGGAGTAAGGAAACTTACCAAACGTTTCGCCCTGCCTAAGTCCTCTCTCGCTTGCGAGGCGAGTGCTCTAACCACTACGCTACAGGACTCCACAACTTCACCATTTAGATATGCCGGACACCACAGAGATAAATATTCTGACAGAATTGCCTACGCTCTGCATTTTTTTTTCCCCGGCAGGACACAAGTGACTGAAATATTAATTTGCCCTGAGGCATAGCAGATGAGAAAAAAAAAAACAATACTTTTCCTCAAGAAGATGGCTTGCTAATGTGGAAAAAAAACCCAAAGAGTAGTGGTGTTCCCCGTGACCTTTACGCAGTCCGTTATTGTGGTTTACGGAGAAATTGTTTTTTTTTTGCTGCTTTCGCTTCGGATGACGGTTTGCTCTCCGAGAAGGCAAGCAGGAACTTCCCGACTTTCTGCCTGTGTCACTTCCCGAGCTCGCTGTTCAAAAAAATGGACGCTAACTTTCCTTTTCTGCAGCTGATCTGAGATCACAACATCAACAACAAATTGCATTTACACAGCGCCTTTCACGTCGGGAGGACGTCCCTAGGCGCTGGACAGTCAGGGATTTGGACCCGAGCTGGGGATTCACGTAAGAAGGAGTGAATAGAGAAAGGTAGAAATTTACGGCACAGAAGAGGAGGCCATTTGGCCCATCGAGTCTGTACCAGCTCTCAGAGCTATCTGTCTATCCAATCTCAATTACGCGATCATTTTTAATTATTTGATTTGATAACTAATCCCCCAAATCGATAATATTTCGATACTTTGAGACATTGCGACAAAGTGATAAGGCACTATGTCAAATGCAAGGATTATTATTATTATTATTATTAATATGAACTGTCCCGAATTTCAGCCCTCTGAATGAACGAGTGCATCAGACTGAGAGACACTGTGCAGGAATTGAGTTCAGGCTTGTGTTCTTTCGGAAATGGGTAACGTATCTTTATCTCCCAAACAAATAAATAAATGAACAAATTCCTTAATAAAAAAAACACCAGAAATCTTTTTTTTCCAGAAACGTGAAAAATAAAGACGTGGAAAGTTGAAGCATTCATTTGCACCTGTGTTTATCCAATCCTCGAGAGGACGAACTGTTAATTAAGATTTTTGAAGTGTTTTTCGCATTACAATAACATCTAGATATCACTCCATGCAGTAACCCAAAGGAAAAAAAAACCTCAGCATTGTAGACAGGCTCTGGAGACAGTGAGTCCAATTAACGTGATCAAATATCTGAATTATTACAGGAAAACGGCCAAACAAAGAAACAATCTACTCTTTTGTGAGCGCAAGCGAGAGAGCTCTTCTCTGGAAGGGAAATAAGCAGAGCACGAACTTTTTAACCCTGAAAGTCACCCAGCCCCATCTTTTTCCCTGAATATCAATGAGCGACAGCGCGCTCTGGGACGCTAGCCAGCCTGAGGGGCTCTCTATAAATGCAAGTTGTTGTCGTCGTTGCTTCACCCACAAAATACGCAGTCAATTCACTTCACAGTACTTTGTACAGCGCCTTTCATGTCAGGAAAACGTCCCAAGACACGGGACGTTCAGGGATTTGGACCCGAGCTGAGGGTTGGGATCAAGAGGGGTGGAGGGCAGGGAGGCTGAGGGTAGGAGGGTGACTGAAGGCATGGTCGAAGAAGAAGGTCTTGAGACGGGCCTTGAAGGACGCAAGGCGGGGGTGGGTGGGTGGATGGGGGGGTTGGGGGTGAGGCGAAGAGAATGTGTGATGGAGTTCCAAAGCCTGAGTGGGCAGAGAGGCTGAAGGCTTTCAAGAGGGGATATGGATTGTGCTTCTGGGAGCCAAGTTGTTCATCGTGAATCGCATTTACACACCCGGCGGAAAGGTGAAGACTCTGGTTATAAAGACTTACCCAAATCCACTGTGTTGGATGGTTTAAGGGCGGCGGCCGCCAGCCGGGCCATCATTGGCGAGATCAGGCCTTTACTTGCTGTGATTTTCTCCATGATGGAGGTGGACACCGGAGACAGGGTTTTGGATCCGCACGTCCTTGAAGAAGGGTCCTTTGGCATTGGAGGGACGTTGGAGGGGATGGCAGACAGCAGGCCGGCTGCCGTGACGGGCAGCGCCAGGGGCACCCTGCCGGAGATGATGGGGAAGAAGGACCCGGCACTGGAGAGGGCTAGAGCCACAGGCATGGAGCTTGGGAGCGACTGGGAGAGAAGAGTGGAGATCTTACTAACGGACGCTAGGCTGCTCATGGGCTTCCCGGTCTGGCCGGAGGAGACAGAGGCTGTGGTGGGGGTGGACAGCAGGATGGGGGCCGAGGACTGCTGACTGGTGGGTGAGGCGCTCAGACTGGAGTTCTTGCTGCTGATGGCCGAGTAGTCGATCAGGTCGTCGTTGCTGGAGTCGTCGGCCTCGTTCTCTTTGCGGCCAAGCAGCTGGGAGGCCAGGCTCAGACCGCCGGAGTTGCGGATGTGCCTGCGTTCGTGCTTGCGCTTGTGGGAGGTCATCTGGCTGGTGGAGGTGAAGGTGAAGCCGCAGCCCATTCGGATGCAGTGGAAATGGTTGGTGGCTTTGCTGTAGACGCAGCCCTCGTACTTGCACTCCTCGTACTTGTAGAATTTCTTGAAGCCGTCCTTGGCGTAGGCGTCATCCTTGATGTGGTAGCTCTTGTGTTTCTCGATGTCGCACTTGTTTTTGAAGGTGAAGGTGCAGCCGGGTCGCCTGGAACCAAACAATGACCATAATAATCATCATATTCCTTGCATTTGATGTAGCGCCTGATCGCGTCTTCGAGACGTCTCAAAGCGCTTCACGGGATACACTGTAAAGGCAACTGATATTTTGTGGGCGAAACGCAGCAGCCAATTGCGCACAGCAGCGTCCCACAAGAACAGGCATGAAGTGAATGACCAACTTCTCTCGGGGGTAGAGACACCGGGAGAGAGAAACTCCCTCCTCTTTCTCGAATGGCGCTAAGGGATCTTTGTCGTCCACCTCAATAGGCAGACCAGCCAATGTGTGTTAGAAGCAGCACTGGGCTAGGATGGAGAGGCAGCCCTGAGCACACAGGTACCTGCAGTGGAAGTGCGTGGTTTTCTGCCCGTAGAACTGACAGACAAGCGTTCCGCAGTCCTCGGTTGCCCTGAATCGCTGAAAGCCGTCGTTGATCAGCTGTGCGTTCTTCTTGTGGAAGTTTTCATGAGTCATCACGTCAGAGGTACTGGTGTAAACCTTGTTGCAACCAACCTGAAGGGAATAGGGATGGAAAAGAAATTTATAAGGAATACTGGATTGTATGGATAGATACTCAACTCATTGTAAGTCAAAGATCATCACTTACACAACCTCTATAGGTTGTAATAACACTCTAATATTTCACCCACAAAATACACAGTCAATTCCCTTTATATTATATTCTGTGAAGCGCTTTGAGACGTCTCGACAACGTGATAATGCGCGATATCAAATGCAAGGATTATTATTATATTATTAATAATAATCCTTGCACATGATGGAGTGCCTTTCACTTCAGGAGGCCATCTCAAAGCATAGTTGGAGTTTTTTTTTAATTTATTCACTATTAAGGAAAATGGCCAGAGGTCAGACCACATCAACTCCAGATCAACTCCGAAATTAGGTAAGCAGGAGGCGTCCCTCCAGATGTTAAAATGTTAACATTTAATCGTTCTTCCTACAAAAGTAATAAGTTTGAGCATTTAAGGATTAACTGAAGAGATCAGGTCCATAGTCATGCCTTTAAGGTTACCATCCTTTGATCTGAAGCTGCTTTGATGAAGGTGAGGGACTGAAACGACTGATGAAACTAATCCAAAGTCGAGTTATTTTAGTGAAAATACAGCTACCTTTGCTTTATATATATATAAAAAAAAAGACAAAAAAAATCAAAGGAACTTCAAAGGACTTTGCTCTTTAAAGGGGCAAAGTCAAACCAGCATTGCCCTTCATTCTCCGAGAAGGCTTTCATTCCGGTTATCTTAAGTGATGTTGTCACACGGACGTCCCTGTTTTAGTTTGGAGCTGGGAAACTTTACGTTTGATAATCAAGCGAAGGATTAACCCCTTTTTCACTGGTTTGGCGTGGAGGTGACACTGACACCCAATTCCTACTTAATCGCGGGGGTGATATGGGTGGATGTGTGTGTGTGTGTGTGTGTGTGTGTGTCTGCCCAACACAGAAACTCGTCACCATACTTAAGACTATAAGTAAATATACAGTCAGTTCACTTCACAGTGTGTTCTGTGAAGCGCTTTGGGACGTCCTCCCGACGTGAAAAGCGCTATATCAAATGCAAGGATTATTATTATTATTATTATTATTATTATAATATAATAATAAAAATCCTTGCATTTAGCGCTTTTCACGTCTTCTCGATGTCTCAAAGCTCTTCACAGAATAGACTGTAAAGTGAATTGACTGTATATTTGTGGGCGAAACGCGGCAGCCAATTGCGCACAGCAGTGTCCCACAAACAGTCATGGATTAAAAATGACCAATTTATTTTTGTTTTGTTTTGGAGGGATTATTATTAGGCTCTGTGTGGAGTAAGGAAACTTGCCCAAGGTTTCGTCCGGCTTGGAATTGAACCCAGGGGTCTCGCTTGCAAGGTGAGTGCTCTAACCACTGAGCTACAGGACTCCACTATCCAAATTACAGAGAGTTCAATGACACATAGATCTGGAAGTCTCAAGTAAAGACGCACTCTCTCCCCCCTTGGAGTGACGCACCCAGCTCACACTATCGCGGAGACTTTAAGCATTTTGCAAGTGGTCTTGAGCCCAATCATTTGGGGTACGAGAGACAGAGTGGGGGGGGGGGGAGAGGGTGTTTGTCCTGATTTTTTCTAATGTAGCAAATTTGCAGCAAGCGAAAATCCACCGTTTTCACTCACGAACCAGAAACCACTGTGATATGAAAGTTTCTTTATCCCACTCTCCTCCCACTCCCCCTCCCCATTTCAGATCAACTAGATTGCGACTTGTTCTTCACTGCTGCTGGGAAAAATTAAGGGCTTTTCACTCTTCACTTTGGGGTGGTGGTGGTGGGGGGTGAGGAGGGAAATTGGCTGGCTTTGCTATTCCGCCACCCGTCCGTTCATTTGTTCCCCAGACGCGCTCTAAAAATAGTCGGTTTAAAAAAAATAGCGCAAACGAGCAGAAATTGCTCTTAAAATGACAGTATGCTGCTGGAGACAGGAAGATGATTTCCTGAAGCAGATTGAGCCGAGGGAGACACTGCTGAGTTCATGGAGGATATCGCATGCTGGGACCTCGACTCTGAGCGGATGTGTTGCAAGTGAGAAAGAAGACTGCAGAACTCACAAGAGGCTCAGCCTTGATGGATTTTATAACAGTCTTTAACGCGAGTGAGATTTCAGCTTTTATTTTTAACAAAAAGACCTCCCCCACCCTGACCACCTCTCCTCTCCTTTCCTCGCCATTACCTATTTGTGTACGTTATGTCTCTCTCTTTTTTTTCCCCCACGCAAAAATCGAGCCAAAAAATATTGCTTCCCCCGCGCGTGGTGATGAGGATGCTTCAGAGGTCATCGTGGGTTTGTGTTTGCAAAGCCAACTCTCGGTCACTCGGGAGATGTGTCGTCATTCGTTCTGAAGGTCTTGAGACGGGACTTGAGACGGGCCTTGAAGGAGGCAAGGTGGGAGGAGGATGTGGGGGTGGGGGGGGCGAGGCGAAGGGACTGTGGGATGGAGTTCCAAAGTGTGGGGGGCGGGGTGGCAGGGGGGCAGAAAGTCTGGAGGCGCCTACTGTTGATGGTGGAGCGCTATACAAATACAAGTTGTTGTCGTGGTTTTGCCTGCAGAACATATAGTCATTACACTTCACAGCATATTCCGTGAAAGCGCTTTGAGACGTCTCGAAGACGTAATCAGGCACTGTATCAAATGCAAGGATTATTATTATTATTAATGTTGTTGTTCTATATATTGGCTGGAGGCCGATCGAGAGAGCGTGTGGGTCGCAGTGGGCCAGGCTGTGGGTAAGAGGGTTACCTGCATGCAGTGGTAGTGTGTGCTCTTCCCGTTCAGGTGACAGCCGTGGTAATACACGCTGCAGTCATCCAGGGGACTGAAACGCATGAAGCCGTGCTGCAGCGAGTTATCTCGCTTCTTGTGCATGTTGTAATGGCGGATCACGTCCTGCTTACTGGTGAATCTCTGCGGGGAAACAAAATACCCAGCGTCAGACACTGCGCCCCACCTTTCCTTTTTTTGCTTGTCCTGCTGCGCCATGGTTAGAACGCGCTCGCCTCGCAAGCGAGAGGACCCGGGTTCGATTCCCTAAGGGCGAGGGCGAAACCTGAGTACGGCAAAGTTCCCTTACTCCACAATGCCTCTGATTAGCTGGAAGTAGGAAACCCTAGTGGCTCGTCGATTGGCAGATCGCTTTCCAGGGGGTAATATTCCCTCCAAAAGCAAATGGGAAAACAATTTGGCCCATGACTGTTTCTGGGACACTGCTGTGCGCAATTGGCTGCCGCCTTTTGTCCACAAAATAAACAGTCAATCCGTTTTATAGTATATTCTGTGAAGCGCTTTGAGACGTTTCAACGACGTGATAAAGTGCTATATCAAATGCAAGGGCTATTATTAGTTGGAGGTGAGGTCTGCCCTGAGCACTGCTTGTGCAGCAGAAAATCAGATTGAAGTAGAGACCGTTCAAAGCATTAACAGTCAGGCAGACACTATCCAACTCCCTTTATAATCCCACTTGATACTACAGGTAAGCGATAGAAACCACTGAATATTGTCTATGGAGTGACACTTTACAGCGCTGTAAGTGTATCCCTGGTGCTATAACAGTTAGCTTATAACATCCTAGAAAAGCTTAACAGTGTTTAATGTTTCCATAATTTAAAGTCTGCTTTAATCGTTCAAGTGGTCTTCAGTGTGTGTGTCTGTGTGTGTGCGTGTGTGTGTGCGCTCGTGTGTGTGTCTCTCTCTCTCTCTGTCTGTCTCTCAAGGCTTGGTTTGTAAATTTATTGCTCCTGTTCCACTTTGCCATCCTGTTAGCAGTCAGTGAATAATAATAATAATAATAATCAATGCATGTTTTGGGGGGACATCTCTTCTCGAACTGCTTGTGACACTGTTCTGGGACTGAGATGGGAAACTCGGCTTGGAATGTGTCATCCTTGAGGGGAAAGTCCTCACGTTGTTTGGGCTTAAGAAAATTGTTTTGACACTTAAGGTTGTGCAGAATATTGTGAAAATAATAGTAATATTAATCCTTGCATTTGATGCAGCGCCTTATCACGTCGCTGAGATGTCTCAAAGCGCTTCACAGTATTTACTGTAAAGTGGATTGAAGCCGTCAGGAAGGTGGAAGGTGAACTAGATGGATCTTGATCTTTTTTCGTCTAGCATTTCTTATATTCTTATGTATATGTTCTTATATTTTGTGGGCAAAACGTGGCAGCTAATTGCGCAGAGCAGTGTTCCACATCACAAACAGCCGTGGATTGAGTGACAAAATGTTGTTTCTTTAAAACTCTTAAATTCAGTCTTAGTTATGATGCTGGTAAGAACTGCGGAAAACTGTGTTCCAAAGTGAGACTGAACTTAAGAGCTTTCCTAAATTCTGCCCTAAATCTTTGCCTTGAATTTGCACCAACTACCAGTAGAATCTCTCAACTTGCCAACACTTAGCCGAGATCTCTGCCATCAGATCCTTTGCAGACGGGACAGAGGGAAAAAGAGAGAAAGTGGGAAAGAAAGAGAGAGGGGAAAAACAAGAGTTGGAAGAATATAAGAGGAGGCAGCGTGGAATCAGATGGTTGAGACTGTGATACTTTCACTCTTAGAAACTGCCACCATGTGTGTGTGTGTGTGTGAGCTTGCCAGTGATGTTGAGTGGAGGAAGTGTCTCAATTGTTGGTGGAGTGAGGGAACGGTTGAAGCCAACACGAGGATTGAGAAAGGTCAATTGTCAATGGCCGGCTATCTGGGTGGACCTCAGTAAACTAGCCGTGCGTTTCAGGTTCATCCCCAGCTCCAGAACGGAGTCAATATTTAATTCCGAAATGTTTCATTCAGTCTGCGAGTCAAAAAGGAGCACTGAGCTGTTCCTCTGAAGCAGCAACAGATGGTAAGATTGATGTTGGCAAGAGTAGAGGAGAATTGAAGCCAGCTGGCACGCAAGCAATGATTTTTAATGGAAGGAAAAAGCCCCCATGTGAAAAAAATCACAGTCCCTATCATCAACAATAAATAAAAGCTGCGAGATATCACAGAAGGCAAATCTGCTTTGCACTTTTTTTTTAGAAATGGATTAATTTATTTTATTCACGCAAAATGTTAACTACCGTGCAGGCAAAATGAGTTTAAATGGAAAATATAAATACACCATAACCACCCCCACCAGTGAGGCTTTGAAACGTTCCTTGCCAAATTTTGTGCTTGGATCAGTCTTTTTGGCCAACAAGCAAGCTTTGAAACTCACTCCCTCAATCCCTCTGTCTTGGCCCTCCCTCCTTCCCCTCTTTTAGATCACGCCTGAAGACCTTCCTCTTCGACCGTGCTTACTTACGGTCACCCCATTATTTTGCTGTGATTTCCCGAGAAGATTAGTGGCCACTAAATCGAGAATCATTTAAGAATATTCCAAAAACCCCGTCTGCTTGATCAGAAATCTAAAGACGAACAATAATAATAATAATCCTTGCATTCGATGTGGTGCTTTATCACGTCTTCGAGATGTCTCAAAGCGCTTCACAGAATATATTGTAGAGTGAATTGATTGTGTATTGTGTGGGCAAAACGAGGCAGACAATTGCGCACAGTGGCGTCCCACAAACAGCCGTGGATTGAGCAGGCAAATTATTAATAATTTAAAAAAAAAACATTTTTGGAGGGGGGGGGGTTGATTTTGAGGAAATTGGGGTCACAGGTTCGAGCCTTGGGGGTATATGGGGGGGTGGGGGGGAGTGGGTGTCTCTTGTACCTGATAGTTACACTCTGGATCCAGACAATGGTAATGTTCTCTGTACTGATAGGCGCAGTGAATGTGTCCACACTGTTGACTGCCCGAAAACCTGCAAATAAGGACAAGAGGAGAATGAGTGAGATCAGTGACTGGTCACCATCACCATCTTGAAAAGAGACGCTTCTGAGTGGGGAGCTCGCAGAAGAATTAATAATAAAAACAAAATAAAAGCCTTATATAGTGCCTTTCACGACAGGAGCATGTCTCAAAGTGTTGGTCAATGCGGCAGCCAATTTTGCGCACAGCAACGTCTCACAAACAAACACAAAGTGAGTGAACAATTATACTTATAGGGAGCATTTTCGGCCAATGTACAAAATGCTAAATAATTTGAGAAAGCAAACCCACACTGATACTTTTAGGTAGTCATAAGTAAAGGGACAAGAGGTCACACACAGACACACATGCACAAGTCCTGTGTGTGACGAGTAATTCCTTTACACAGAGAATGATCAACAGCTGGAATGAGTTTGCAAGAGAGAACGTTGGACTTGTTTGAGAAACAGCCCGATGCTGTAACGAGAGGACGGTGGGGTGGGTATTCTGGAAGGATGAGATCAAATGGGAAGAAAGGGGGTCCTCTGTGTGGACATGCTTTTATGACCTTGAAAAGTCTCTCTCTCTCGTATCAACCTGTAGTTTCTTCTGTGAAGCTCACATTAACGCACATTCTGATGAGAGACTGACCAATAACCAAACGCTCTGCTGCAGTGTGTATGTTTTTACCAGAGTAACGACTGATCCACAGAACTGGCATTAACATCAACGACTAATGGAAACAATGAGCATTTTGTTAGTTACAGATTCCACCTGCATTTCAATCGACGTTGCTATTTATGCAAAGTTTCAGCGTGTCTAGAGTTTGGCAAATTGTCGAATTCAATCTCAACTTTCAAGTCATTTTCTCAGCAGTTTCTTAAAAGAAACTCAGCAGCTTGAAGAGAAGACAGCATTTAAGGATTTATAACAATAATAAGCCTTGCATTTGATACAGCGCCTCATCACGTTGTTGAGACGTCTCAAACTGTTCTGAGAATATACTGTAAAGTGAATGGACTGTGTATTTTGTGGATGAAACATGGCAGCCAAATAGTGTTTCCGCAGCCAATTGTGCACAGCAGTGTCCCACAACAGTCGTGGACTGAGTGACCAAATTATTATTCTTAGTTTTTTGAGGGATTATTACCCCCAGTTAGCAATCCGCCAATCGACTAGCAACTGGGTTCCTACTTACTGCGAGGTAAACACAGGCGTGTGGAGTAAGGAAACTTGTGTATCGTTTCTCCCTGGCTGGGAATCGAACCCACATCCTCTCGCTTGTCTGGCGAGTGCTCTAACCAATACATAACAGTACTCCTGAATATCAGTGTATTTCAGATGACATGTTTCATTCAGGTTAAATCAACGAAGCAAGGAAGGACGGAGGCGACAGAAAACAATGCCTCACCAATGAATAAGCCAGCACCTTCTGTTTGTACACAAAGTTTTCGGTCATTTGAGACGTCTCGAAGACTTACTGACTTGCTATATCAAATGCAAGGATTATTATTATTATTATTATTTGGACAGCTTTGGACAGTCTGGACTGTGGGCTGTGGGCTCGTCAATAATAATAATAATCCTTGCATTTGAATAAAGCACCGATCACGTCGTTGATACGTCTCAAAGCGCTTCACAGAATATATCCCAAAGTGAATTGACTGTATATTTTGTGGGCGAAGCTGTACACTTTGTGTCCGTAGCTACACTAAACCAACAGGAGAATTTTTTTTACACTTCAGCCAAGTTCTCCTGGGCTCGCTTCACATTGTTGGCCCACTGCCCCCTCCCCTCCCCCCGCCCCCCCCCTCCCCTCCCTACACACAGAAACCAAGCTGAGCTGAGCTGAATAGAATAGAATACCATCCTCGGCCAACGTTAATACGAGATAAATGTGCTCATCGGGGGATAGCCTAACTCGCCGTGAAATCAGCGAGAAGGAAGCCAAGCGTGGGTCAATGCTGAGCCAGGCTCCGCACTTGAGCTTTTGTTAACGTCGCCCGTGGGTTGTCAGCAACGGTGCTTTGGTGTCGGCAGGTTCAGGGCCACCCCCCGGTGTCACCGTGCAGCCTGGCAGCCCAGCGGGAGACTTGGCAAGTCTCGCTCCCCCCTCCCCCCCACCCCAAACCCCAGCCCGCTGAGAGAGGAGATACCCTGTGGCTCCAACCTCCTCGTTGGCTTTGGTTTAGGAGGCAGGCAGGTGTGTGCTGACGGGGTGAGTCAGTCTGCACTGAGTTACCCTCCCTCCCTCCCTGGGAGCTGAGCACATTGTCGGATGTTTGCAACAGTTCCACACCACCTCATGGATCGTGTTAACAAAGCTGAGAGACAGCAGAACCTGGGCAGTGCCATAGCTGAGGTCAACAGAGTGTGTGCGCGGGTGTGTGTGGGGGGGTGGGGAACAGAGACAGACCCTGCACTGAACCATCCAGGCAGACATCTTTGAGTTGTGTTGACCAAACCCTAACCCGTGGTCTTCTAATCTCCCTTTGTACGTGTGGCCTGGCTCCTGACAGACTCGAACAGTCAGTCAATCTCCCCCCGCCTCACCACCCATTCATTTACCACAAACATTTGCATCACTGCACTGCTCCCCTTTCCCTTTTCCCTCCCCATTTTAGGCCCAAATGACTTACAATAATAATAATAATCCTTGCATTTGATACAGCGCCTTATCACGTCTCAAAGCGCTTCATAAAATATACTGTAAAGTGAATTGACTGTTGATTTACTGGTTGATACAAAGAGGGTAAAAGTTCTTCTCGACTGGAGTTCGTTGCCTTACAGCTGCCCCCGCTCACAGGAGCGTGGGTGCTTTCTCTCTCTCTCTCGCTTGCTCGCTCTCTCGGTCATAAGACACCCTTAATTACAAAATGACATTAACTTGGGAAGATGTGCCACGTGAAAGAGCTGGTGACCAGCTCAGCCCAGCCCTGCCCAAGACAGCCCAGCCCAGCTCGCACCAGCCCACTTAGGTGAAACAAAAAGCAGCTACGAGTGGATCAAAGTCAGTTGCCACATCAACAAAGAAGGAGGGAAATAACCCTGGAATGAGCGCAGGGATTTTCCCATGATGGTTGCCCACATTTCCTGGCATTACCAAGCCTCCACTAATCCTCCTGTTAGTGCTGCCTGAGCTGTTGTTACTGGCGTTTCACTAGCAATTTGAGTTTATGGAAACCCAAGTCTATAGCCTTCCCCCTTTTTCTCTCTCTCCTTACGAGTCCAAAGGGCATCACTCACTTACCCATTTGAATTATCTTTTTAATTTGGCCAGAGAAACAGCATTATACTGTATTCCCTGCAGCTAAAAAAAACCGCATCTCCCTGTGGGCTTGAAATCCCTTTGGCTGCTCAGTGCGGTGTTGATGATGTGAGCTTACAACAGGGTAAAATCCCACATCAAATCCCCGACACTTGGCTACAAGTGGAATCCTTCACACCTTGACCTCTGAGGATTTATCAGCCGTTTTATAACCAGGCTGGAAGGGTAGGAGTCTCGCTGCTCTTGAGAAGATAAGGATATACATTTATATAATAATAATCCATGCATTTGATATAGCGCCTTATCACATCTTTGAGATGTCTCAAAGCACTTCATAGAATATACTGTAAAGTGAACTGACTGTACATTTTGTGGGCAAAAATAAGAAGATAAGGGCCTAATATTAGGCTCTAGGCTATGTTTTTAGATGGCATTAGCGCGATCTGTAACAACAACAACTTGCATTTATTTTGTGCCTCTCACGCATGGTAACGTCTCGGAGCGCTGTACAATTGTGGGCTCTGACTCTGAGCTAGGAGGCGTGAGGGGGAGTAGCGTTAACATGGAGTTACACAGGTAGGTAACAGCGAAAAAAAAGGCTCATCGAGTTTACTCCCGGGAGAATTTCTTCCCTCTCCAATCCCCCCACTTCCCTCCTCTCCCCTCCCCGTCTGCTCCCCTCGTCCATCTTCCACTCAACACTTTCAGAATAGTCATCGACCTCCTGGGCACCTTACAGCCCTCTGGCCTCAACACTGACTTTAGCTACTTCTGACCTTAGCCACAGCTCCCATCTTCTCTCAGCTTTGCCTCTTCTATAACCATTCACACATCCACTGGGCCTCAAAACACACCTTTCTCGCTCTAATCTCCCACTATTGCCTTTTTTTGTCTTGCACCATCAACACCTCTGTGATCTCATCATATCCTGTCCTCCACCTATTTTTTTCCTTAAGACTTCTGTGTTTATACCAGATTTCCAGCATCTGCATTACTTTGCTTTTTGTTCAATTTTTTCCTTGGTCTTTCTTTCCCCGAACCCCTTCTTTGCCTGTCCTTATAAACTGCACCCTTCCAACATCCCCCTGACGAAAGGTCATCGACCTGAAAGGTTAACCCACTTTCCTCTCTCCATAGATGCTGCCTGACCTGCTGAGTGTTCCCAGCGACTTCTGCTTTTACTTTCAGAATGTTTTCTATTGTGTTCACTCTCAGAAAATCAAAAGGGACTAACCAGCAATCTCTGAGCAGATGGGGTGATTTGGGATGGTGACCATCAGTAGGTAGATTACTGCAACGAAATATAAATAACTTTTTTTAAAAAATATTCAGCGCTTAGGTGGGAACACTCTCACAAAAAAAGAAGATATCAAAAGAGCGGGCGGGTGGTGGGGAGGGGTGGGTGAGGGAGTGGTGTGCTTTTAGTTTGCTGTTTAAAGAAGGTTTCAATATATACAGATTACAAAAGAGCGAGGGAAAGGGATACCTAACTTTTAAATAGTTAAACGCCGACAAATAAAAAGATCAGAGCGATTCATTACACAGGTTTAAATAGGGCAGAACAGCAGCATTTATTAGCAGGTTTAATATAGGTCACAGTCGGATTCATTGTTAATACAGCACGGATATCTGGCTTCATCTGAACAGGGGCGAGGTGGGAAAGTTTGGATAATAATAATCCTTCCATTTGATATAGCGCCTTATCACGTCTTTGAGAAGTCTCAAAGCGCTTCACAGAATATACTGTAAAGTGAATTGACTGTATATTTTGTGGGTGAAACGCGGCAGCCAATTGTGCACAGCAGCGTCACACAAACAGTTGTGAATTGAGCGACCAACTATTACCCCCAGAAAGCGATCCGCCAATCGACTGACAACCAGGTTCCTGCCTATTACCAGGTAAGCAGAGGCATGTGGAGTAAGGAAACTTGCCTAAGATTTCGAACCCGGATCCTCTTGCTTGTGAGGCGAGCGCTCTAACCATTAATGCTTTGGCCCTTTAACATGATTCCAAAGCCTGCTTAGGTTTTGGCGTTGAAATTAAGTGACTTTGTGCCCTGTTTTGGGAATCGGAAACGGTTTGCTCGCTTTTCGGCTGAGGCTCATTCATTTCCACTCCCCTCTGCTTTGCTGCCTTTTTTGCTCTAATGGAATAGTTCCCATTTAAAAACCAACCTCCCTGTCTCTTGCTAGTGGCCCAATAATAATGTTCCAGGTGAGAGAGATCACTTCTCCTGTAAGATAATGGTGCGGAACGTTGCGACAAGTCGAGCCAATTTGGCTAATATCTCCCAACTGAGACCTTTTTATTGGTTACATAAGTGCTACAATCAAGAGGGAACTCTTTTCCTTGTGACTGGCCTTGTCTTTTACACATAAGGCAAGCAATTAAATCAGGCCATGGCTGCCAAATGACCTGAAATCAGCCAAAGCGCACAATGTAAGAACATAAGAATTCGCTAGACGAAAGAAGACAATTTTGATGATTAATGTGGCCTGGCTTTAATATTTTTTCTAAAATATACTTTATTGCAAGGATTTAGAGACCTCGTTTCTGGGTTAAATGGTTAATAAAGTTACATATATTGCATCGTTCATGTAAAGTAATGCCACGAAAAGTAGTTTAAAGTGAAGATTTCAAGACGTGTTAAAAAAATCCAAATATCTCTTACAAGGAACCAATCTCTACTTGGCAGTATTAACCTTGCGGAGTCATGTAGCTCAGTGGTTAGAGCACTCGCTTTGTAAGTGAGAGACCTGAGTTCAATTCCAGGCAGAGGGCGAAACCTTGGGCAAGTTTCCTTACTCCACACAGAGCCTAATAATAATCCCTCCAAAACAAAACAATAATAAATTGGTCATTTTCAATCTACGACTGTTTGTGGGACATTGCTGTGCGCAATTGGCTGCCGCGTTCGCCCACAAATATACAGTCAATTCACTTTACAGTGTGTTCTGTGAAGCGCTTTGGGACGTCCTCCCGACGTGAAAAGCGCTATATCAAATGCAAGGATTATAATTATAAGACCAAGGTCCTTCCAGTTTGCCTTCCATTATCCTGGCAGTCGCTTGACATGCTGTGTCCGAAACTTTATACTGTAATCCACGATATTATTTCCTAAAAGAAATCTGTCTGATTTGCTTTTGAAAGAATGAACAAGTTCTGCTTCCAAGGGAGGGAGCCAGTTCCATACATTTACCACTCGCTCACTGAAATAGTGTTTCCACAGATTAGTTTTGAATTCCGCCTTGTCCCCCCTTTGAAAAAGTGACTGTGCAGGAGTAAGTTTCAGAAATTTTAGATGGGGGAAGGGAAGGGGGTATCTATCACTTGGGGTAGAAATTTCACCTGGGTCTAGATTTACTCTATATTCTTAGCATTTGAACATTTCTTTAAAGGCAGGCTTAATTTTTGAAGCTGTAAGGTTTTTTGTACGAACGCAGAAAATCGCCTTAAAAGTTAACACCGAGCTCAACAGTTGCTTATCAATTTCTGTGCATCGTGAAAACTGAGTTTAATTTTAAATTTAAACTGAGATCTAAATCCAAACGGATTATTTACCACCTCCCCCGCCCGCCCCAAACACACACACACACAGGGTTCTGGTGCTTTGGTTTGCGACTGATTAGATACTGTATCTGGGCATGTGGTTTGGTGAATTTTGGAGTCATTCCAAGCTCCAATGCGGATGATAACTCAGGTATCAGAGACAACAAAAGGAGGAAATCTAGCCAAAGGAAACTTGGTGAAAAACATTCTTTTTTTAATCAGTAAAAAAGACTAATGAAGGGAGCAAATTGTCCTGTCACTTTAGGTTACGCAGAATGCATAGGACAAATTCAGAAGCAGATTTCACTTGAACCCAATTGTTCCGTGTCTATTTCTGTTCATAACAATTGGCGGTATTTCTTAATAGGTCTCTTAACAACAACAACAACAACAACAGCTTGCATTTATATAGCACTGTCCACATGGGGCTGCGTCTCGGAGTGCTTAACAGTGGCTAAATGTAATTTAATATATAAATTTGACTTAATGTACCTCAATGTTAACTGTGCAATGATCGATTGTATGAAACATTGCGCACTTTAGAAGTTTCTTATTGGTGATTCCATATTTTTTATGAAGGAATACATTAAGAAATACCGCAAATTGGGACACCAATTGCGAAATAAAGCTGTCAGATCCAATGTTATACAATGATGGAAGTGGGAGTTCAGTGTTTGTGCTACAGTGCAGTCACTGGGCTCATTTTGGGCTTTATGTTCAATGGTGTGCGTGCTCCAGACAATATGCAAAAAGGATCGAGTGTCTGATTAAACTATTGTATTTACAGTCTTCTAAATAGGATTGAGTTTCCCCCATTAAGTCAACCCCCAAAAAACAATTTAACGTTCTTAGACAATAGAGCGTGAGCATTTAATGTGCTCATCGCTAGGGATGATGAATAATGCAAGACAAGAGGTTAATGGTACTGCTCGGATCGGGAGTCCTGGATATGAGGAAGAGAATGGGAAGAGCCTTGATTCACTGAAGTTCCGTATTAGGAAGAGTTATTGGGAAGAGACTCGATCCACTGGGAAATATCACGGGAAACGATTAGAATTCCAGATGATGAAAAGCAACAACATCAACAACAACAAATGACGTTTAACACAGAGGCTTTCACGTTAGGACGACGTTGTCCCAAGGTGCTGGACAGTCAGGGATTTGGACCCGAGCTGGGGGTTGGGATCAGGAGTGGTGGAGGGCAGGGAGGTTAGCTCCAAATCCTTTTTTTGCACGCTGGTCCTTGTGCTTGTATTCTTTGGTCAGCCGACACAGGCTGCAAACCGTCACATGGCAATATCTCCATGTCTGGAAAGAATGCGCACTCCCTCTCTCTCTCTCACTGGAAGATTGCACATTGCTTCTCTAATTCTGCAGAGTATCAGGCACAGGTTGGCAAGAGCTAAGGCTCGCTTTGGGCATACCCCTTCCCTCGCTGCCCTCTACACCTCCTGAACCCAACCCGCAGCTCAGCACCAAATCCCTTGACTGTCCAACGCTGTGTAAATGTAATTTGTTGTTGCTATTGCTGGAGTTTAACCAGCTAAAACTACATAACTTGCCATTGAAAGCACTGAATGGGCTCTTGCTATAATCCCGATGATGGCAAAACAGCCTCTGTTTGCTGTATTTGTACATTTGACACAAGATTGAACCAAAGACATACCGTTCTAACTCGAAAAGCAAGCTGTGACCAGAATCAGCCATACACTATGGTCTTCAAGCCCGGTGAGGGTTGGTGGCACTGTATTTAATAGCACTGCCCTTCAGATGTTTAGCTGAGGCTTTCTATTTTAAATAGCAAGTTTCAATGACATTTTTTTTTCCTTTGAACACAGCTTGCATTTTCATATTTAAGTCCATTTGGTAAATACTGTTATTGTATTTTAATTTTTTACAGAAATACATATTTTGCATAACGCCTGCAAAAGTGTGACGCTATTTATCATATTAAAAGAAATTCACTGCTTTCTGCATCCGGTTCACTCAGTCCAGTCTTGAACAGAGTGAAACTTACTGCATTCATCTATAAAACTGTCCTGTGTGTCTGCTTTGCGTGGTTTTAGTTGCAAAACTATAAGAAATAATAATCCTTACATTTGATACAGCGCTTATCACGTCGTTGAGAGGTCTCAAAGTACTTCACAGAATATAACTAAAGTGAATTGACTGTGTATTTTGTGGGCGAAACGCGGCAGCCAATTGCAAATGGCAGCGTCCCATGTGGATTGATTGCCCAAAACTGTGTTCAATAAATAGTTTCAACAAATAATTTCCGAGAAAAATAATAATTTGGTCACTATCCACGACTGTTTGTGGGACACTGCTATGCTGTCAATCGCTCTGGGAAGCTACCCTGCGGTGAGGGGTGCTATAGAAACGCAAGTTGTTGTTGTTGTTGACACAATGCTGCCTTCCTCTCCTGGGCTAGTAAACCTGGATGTTGAAAGTTACTGTGAAAACTCGCTCGTAGCTGCTTGCCTTGGTGTTCATTTCAAACAGCGGGCCCTCTAACCTTGATGTAATGAATATTTTAGACTGACTTCAGCAAAGCATATGCTTGTTTATCCTTTACAGCAGGTAGTTTTACCATTTTCCAGCCCCTCAAAAAAAGAACCTCCTCTGTGCCAGAGTGTTATGAGATAGCCAAGAGTGGAGATGTGAAATTCAGTGTACCTCATTATATATTGACAATGATGATTGTCGAAACCCCCTCAATTATAATGTAAAAAACATACAAATAAACATTTGGATTGTGTCTGCCAAGAACCGCCATCTGCCAACGCCGTAAAATCCACAGGAAAAAGCTAACTAAGAGATTTTTTTTAAAACAGCAGATAATCCCACAGTTGCTTTTAGCGATCACACTGCAGAGTTCATTTAGCTAATTGAATACCAAAGCTTGTGCATTTTGGGGCACATTAAATGGTTTTAAAAGGAAAAAAAACGCACACATCAAATGTATTTCTCATTTTATGATGGCTTTGGCCTCTGGACAATTTCATCTTCGCCGAATCAGTCTAATTGGCTGATTATATTCACCGACAATTAAATATTAATGATGTAATGACACAGTGATTGCTACAGATCTCAAATTACTACAATACGGGCATTTTGATATGTGAAAAAAAATCTCTCTCCAGAGAAAGAGTGCGCACAGAATCGCTTAAATAGAGAACGCGCGGGGAGGCATAAAGACACAAACATTGACTCATATGAAGACCTGGCTGTTTTCTCTCTCTCTTTTCTCTCTCTCTCTCTCTCTCTCCTGCAACCTAGACACCTCATCACATTAGAGGTAATTTCAGAGGGTTAGCTTCAAACTATCCTGCAGCATTAGATTCAGCCCTGTCTTGAGTGCTTTAACTAAGGAAATTGAAACTGAATCTCGGCTTATCTCGAACCATGCTGACCATCAACGCAGAGATATTTGGACAAATTTTATGCATTATGCAGAGCAAATATCAAAACAGAGGTCTTGGCAGATGCAAGGGAGTCCTCATTAAAAATTCCTTAATTAAATCTCCGTCCTAAATGGAATCAGCTCCCCGCGTTTTCGCAGGCTACTGTTTCTGTTTGCCGCAAATATTTGGTTAAACTTGCATCAGGAATGCATTTCTCTCTCCGCCAGGTCTCAACCCCACTGAAAGTAAATACTGCGGCCCTGATCTGATATGGAAATGCGACGGTTTAGGGTGCAAAGCTGAAATCATTTCCTGTGTTTTACTAGCACTTAGTGGGGGGGGGGGGGGAGTGAAGCGGGTTCCAGAGGTAGGCAGATGGGAGTCCTTTAACAATCAACTGTACATGGAATTTCAGGTCTGGACCACACGCTTCCTCCTCTCTCCCCCCTCCCCTCGGCTCCAAGTTCCTTACAACGGCTCTGAATCAGATTGAGGACAATTCTTGCCACCGAAAACTGTGCATTAATACTACTGTAGCAGGCAGGGTTTGAAGCACAAGAACATAAGGTCCATCCAGTTCCCCTTCCACCATTCTGGCAGTCGCTTGCCATGCCGTGTTCCAAACTAGACACTGTATCCCGAGATATTCTTTTCCAACAGGAATCTATCTAACTTGTTCTTGAAACAAATAACGCTTTCTGCTTCTATCCCATCTCCCTAGGGAGCCTGTTCGATACGTTTACTACGCACAATCGCGATCAAATAATCATTAACGTCATTTGTGCTGAACATACTCAAGGCAGCGTTGGAACATGGGGAAGGGGAGAGCAGTAATTGGGGTGAGAATCATGGCTTCGTAGCCAAGTCTGATCATGTCCTCAACCCACCAAACACTAGTCCAGCACACTTTCCAGCAAGGATAATTGGGACATGAAGCTTCCTCTGTCGGTCGGTGCTCCCAAGCTGAGATCAGCACAGCTCAGCACAGTCCACACAGACTCAAGTGTAAGTAAGGACCTTCCTGGTCTGTTATGGCACAGATAGATGCCGTTACCAACTGAGACACCAGAGAAGAAGCCCGTGAATTCCTTACGGCACTGAAATATAGCTGCCGATCAATACAGCTCGATTCTATCTCTTGAAAAACATTGCAGCCTATTCCATACGGTATAAAATGGCATTTGCATACCTGGCAATGTACTTCTGGTAAATATTTACATCTTCTGCACCTGGCTTCTCTGCTGACAATCCGTTCCTAATTTTTACAAAAAAGAATAAAGGTTACATTTTGATAGGTTTTATATCTGGATATCAACCTGACAGAATGCAGCTCAGTATCAGATCACTGTTTCCTCTACGCTCTGTGGGTGTACGTGGATGTATGTGTGTCTGTCTGTGTGTCTGTCTCAGACTATGAGTGACATATTCAGAAAAGCTCCAGTATCTTAAATATTGAAACTTCACATTACTTGTAGCTTCAGAGTGGGAGCAACAAAAAAGACCCTAATTAATATCATTATTTAACCGTTTATAAAGACTGTGATTATGCCCCTTGCAGCCAACTGTAACCCAGTTGGAGATTGAACAATGGCTTCTTAGGGGTAAATTTCTATGATTACTTTGGTGACCACCTACATGTGCATTTAACCTTTCACTGACTTGCTTTGAGTTGCTCTCTCTCTCTCTCTCTCTCTCACTCACTCTGCCATTTTCTAAGCACCAGCATTCTCTCAAAGACTTACCGGATACCCGCAGGTATACTAGTACTGGTAGGCAGCCTCCTGCAGGGGGGAGAAAAGAAATTTTTTTTGAAATCACTATCCCACACACAGACTTTGGGAATGAATGAGAGTATTGCAGGATGTAGAGGAAAAAGTGGGGAAATGGCATTGAAAGATCTGTCATGGTTTCATCAAATGGACCCACTTCGACCGGCTGAACTGGCTTCACATTTTGTCTGGAAAGTCACATGTTAAATTGCTTTACTGTGGGCTGGGAGTCATCTCGCTCAGCTCCTGTTAACCCTGCAAGCTAAAGCCCTAATGGGAAGGTCCTAGCTGGACAAGCAGCAGGAAAGCTTGCCAGACAGTGCTAGCAATGTGGTTTTAGCTGGTTAGGCTCCAGTAGTTACCCCCAACACACACTCTGGGGTCCCCAAGTCTTGGTTCTTGCCAATTAGCCCCTTAATACTTTCCGGAATTAGGATGCATTCCTCCAGGAAGAGAGAGAGAGCGCATTCCACTCCAACAATCTATCCCTGGGATTTCCATGTGTAGGTGGGTGCATGGAATTCTCAGCTTGGGTTGGATTCTCTTAAGCACTGTGATGGGTTTCCTCATGTGTCAGACACCCACCCGGCTGACCAAAAATAATTGACTGCCTTTCTTGCTAAACCCCTGATCTCATATTTGCCCCAATCTGAGCCAAGGCAAAGGACCTCTACTGCACCCCCGTATTTTGATGCCGAATACAGCCCGTTTGCATTGAAAATCCCGAGGCCACGTTATTATGATGTAGTGTGTGCTTGCAAATCATAAAATCAATACCCATTTAAATGCAAGGTCCAACATAAAATCTGCATACATTTTTGCCCTGGCCTTCGCATAATAAAATGAGGGCAACAGCTGCATAATAATAAGATAGTGGCCGTGGCTTCCAAAGATTTGCCTGATAAAATGAGATCGACAATAACACAAAACTTTGGTGATGTTATCTTCCCCCTATTGAGCTGGTACTACCCTAACAAGCGAAACGTGGAAATGTTTTTTTTACCAGAATGATGAGAAGGGATGAGAGACTTCATTTATGTGGAGGGATTAGAGCGGCTGGGATTGTTCTCCTTAGAGCAGAGAAGGTCGAGGGGAGATTTAATAGAGGTGTTCAAAATTATGAGGGATTTTTAGAGGTTAGTTAGGGAGAAACTGTTTCTACTGGTGGGTGAGTCGGTAACTAGAGGACACAGATTTAAGATAACTGACAAAATTGAACCAGAAGCGAGTTGAGGAGAAATCTTTTTACACAGCAAGTTACTACGATCTGGAATGCACTGCCTGAAAGGGTGGTGGAAGCAGATTCAATAATAACTTTCAAAAGGGAACTGGATATTTACTTGAAAAGAGATAAAATTGCAAGGTTATAGGGAAAGAGCGGTGGGGAGTGGGACTAGTTGGTAGCTCTTTCAAAGAGCTGGCACAGGCACAATGGGCCGAATGACCTCTTTTTGTGCTATTGGATTTTATGATTCTAAAAAGCAGGGCAAAGCAACATTAGTATGGAAAGAGTTAAAAGTCGTGGTGATGTTTTGCCTTTGCTGTGGTGGCTGTAAAAGACGTTTGCAGTCACGGAGTGAGCACTATTAAGAGGAGGGTGCAAGGGATTCGCTTCTCTGAACAGGAGACACTTAAAGCTTCCTTCAGTCAAATAGACTTAGTAAAAAATATAGCTACTTACCCAATGCAATCGTCCAATGCAGGTTCCCCTTTGGAAAGGCGGCTGTTTCGAGAAATATAAAATGTGGTTAATAACATGAGAAGATTTGGGTGGTGGGTGGGGGAAAGACTAGAAAATAATAATAATAATAATAATCATAATCTTTGCATTTGATACAGATATAGAGCCTTATCAAGTCGTTGTGACGTCTCAAAAGCGCTTCACAGAATATACTGTGAAGTAAATTGACTGTATATTTTGTGGGTGAAACACAGCAGCCAATTGCGCACAGCAAGTCCCACAAACAGTCGTGGATTGAGTGACCAAATTATTAGGGTTTTATTACCCCGGGAGAGCAATCCGCTAATCGACTAACAACCGGGCTCTTACTCACTGCTAGATAAACAGAGCCGTGTAGACTAAGGATATTTGACCAAGGTTTCCCCCCCTCCCAGAAATCGAATCCGGGTCCTCTCGCTTGTGAGGCGAGTGTGCCAACCGCCACGCTACAGGACTTCCATTAATGGGAAAAGAGGGCGTAGTGTGTGGGAGGGAGAAATCAGGTAGCAATGAGCGCAGACTCGAGGGGCCTTATGGCCTCGTTCATCACTAAACAAACAAAAACAGGCTTACTTGACGGTGGACACGGTTCCCGTGGTGATGGAGTCCGTCTTGGAGAAGCTGGCCTTCAGGAAGTCGGGGTTACCGAAGCCCACGGCGGCGGGGGATTCTGAGCCGGGCGCGGGGGGGCAGGGGCTGCTGGAGAGTGGGGCGGCGGCGATGTTGGTGGGGGCTTTGACCACCGCCAGCTTCTGGATGTTCTTGATGTCGTACTTGGATGGGCGGCCAACTTTGCCCGTCTTGAAGGCGATGGCTCCCCCCATGTCAGGGCTGCCCTCGCCCGGCTTGAAGAGGTGCAGGTACTTCACGTTCTCCAGGTCGTACTTGGAGGGCCTCTTGTAAGTGCTGCCGTTCTGGGGCCGAATGCTCTCCCCCGTCTTTAGCCTCTGGATGAAATAGTCATATTTCGAGGGCCTGGAAATGAAGCCTTGCATATGGGGAGCCGAGCCCGAGGGGATGGAGAGAGCCGCTAACTTGGAGTCCAGGCGGGCGATGGGCTCCTGCACCGGGGGCCTGTGGCTTAGCAGAGCCCCCTCCTTGCCGCCCGGCGTCAGCCTGGAGTCTAGTTCGTTGGGTTTGGAGATAGGAAGAGGCCATGGAAGCCCCTCTCCTGCTTTGAGCTTGCGGATGCACTCGTATTTGGAGATGCGGACGCGCCTGGCTGTGGCGTCCTCGCCCAGCGCCGAGGGCAGGCCGGGTTCTGAGGTAGAGGCATTCAACTTGTCGAAGCTGATTTTCCTGGCGATCTCGTCTCGGACGTTTTGGTGATCATCGTAACCGAACATGCCCAGGAACTCATTCATGGTGGTGGCTGCATAGTCGTGGAGGGTGGAATTTTCCCCTGGGGAGGGGGAGAGTGACGACAACGGTGATGGGGAAAGGTGTGGGGGGGTGGTGAGAGGAGGGGAGAGGTGGGGTGGAGATGGAGGAAGTGGGGGGCGCGGCGGGGGGGGGGGGGAGCGTGGGAGGAGGGGGGGGAGAGAGAAAGGACAAGAGGAGAAAAGGGAACCGAAGAGTTAAAACATTTCCCGAACACTCTGCACAGCTCTTAAGTTTTACGACTGCTAAATTAATTTGTAAAAAGTAATTAATACGGGGGCAAAATAAAGGGAGTTCATCAATGTCAGAAAAATCAATTTCACTAAATGTTCTAGTCAATGGCTTCTCAGTACATTAAACAAAGTTTTCATAAATATACCGTGCTCACAGCTCTGCTTAATATGTACCCAGTAATCTTCTCTGTTCTGCATCTAAGTCTTTATTATTATACCAACCTATTTTATAAGGGCTGCCTTTTTGGGGATTTCCAGTTTGTCTCTCTCTCTCTTTAAATTCCTGTTATGAGCAATGATGCCCCAGAATTGATGCAATCTTTCCACTTTTGGTTCTTGTTTCTTAATTGTTGAAGATTGTTGTTTTCTCTCTCTCTCTCTCTCTCTCTCTCTATTTATCTCTCTCTATGTATAAAAGAACATAAGAATTTCTAGGCGAAAGAAGTCCAAGGTCCATCCAATTTGCCTTCCAACATCCTGGGGGTCGCTTACACATGTCGTGTCCCAAACTATATAATGTATCCGGAGATATTATTTCCTATAAGATAAATATACATGTATATTACCTTTGCTATCTAATCAACCAGGGAATATCATTTCGTATTCCTGTATATACATATAGGAATATGAAATGATATTCCTTGGATGATTGGACAGAAAAGGTATGATAGGTTAATCTGATGGTCATTTCCGCTATGGTTCTGCCAGAGATGAAGTGGGGAGATGTTGTGCCTTTGACTGCACTGCGCTTTGAAGGGCACAGGACATGTTAGATGACTGCGCAGTGCAAATGAGATAGGTTACCTTGCCACGTGGTAACCAGCCACAATTCCACCTATAATAGGAAGCTCTAAGAGGAGGGTCGCCAGAGAGATTCATGTGAAGAAGGTCCCTTCGCCCTCCAGCCCATTTCATCTCATCCTTCCACAACCTCCACCGTCATGACCTCCCAGGGTCCTGGTGCCTGCTAATCCATTCCAGGTTTTGAATACTCTCTGGGGTAAAGAAATACTTCCTGGTTGTTGCCCTAAAATTGTCTTTCTCAGCCCTGAACCAGCGCCCCCTTGCCTTGCTCCCATGTCCTCTCACCCCGCAATCTTAATGTACCTAAGGTGACTGTACTTTTGCAGGCGAACTGGGCAACCAATTGCGCAGAACAGAGTAAATTGAGAATCCGGTAGAATTTCTATTGAGGTTGAATAACTTGGCAAGTTCAGGATCATACATGAACAATAACAACAACAACAACAACTTGTATTTATATAGCACCCCTCATGCATAGTAGGGTCCCTGAGTGCTTAATACCCAACTGGACAAGGAATAGAGTTTGGGGAGTATTGGGAAGAGGGTTGTTACTATACTGATAACCGATGACTGTTAGAGGAGGAAATCAGAGAGAAATGACGAAAAATCTCCCTGACTTGACACCCCCACTCCACCCCCTCACCCACTCCCTATTAAAGTCATTTTGTGTTTGTGTTTGTGTGTGTGGGGGGGGGGGGGGGAAGAGGGGAGGGGTGGTGAGTGAAGCATAGGCTGGAGATCAGGAGAGAAAGAGATTATAATAATAATAATAATCCTTGCATTTGATAAAGCGCCTTATCACGTCATTGAGAGTCTCAAAGTGCTTCACAGAATATACTGTAAAGTGGAGTGACTGTGTATTTTGTGGGCGAAACAGGGTGATTATAAAACCTAATGCTTATCACTTGTTTACATTTCAGAGTGTGTCATGTGTAGGTTTGGTGCATGCTATTAAGGAAATATATCATGTGCCAGTGACAGACACTGTGTTGAGTGAATACTTATCCAAAATAACTTGCGGCCTCCTCCTATACACTGAATGTCCTAAGCCCACTGATCTGGGGAGGACAAAGTCTTTGAGACTTGTGGCCTCATAAGGTCTGAATTCAGCAGGAATAATTTGTTCTGACAGAGTGTCAGATAATCTTACTTTAAAAATAGTGTAAAAATGTATTGACCTTATCATATTTCCCCCCGATGATGTCACCGCCTGCCTTTAGAGCCCTGGGTTGGAGATAATTCCATATTTCTGTATCAGAAGCCACTTCTAGAGAAAGTGTCACTGGAGAACATTAAATGAAGTACTCTAATCTTTACACTTAAAGCCTGCGAATTCCTCAGTGAAAGGCAGTCCCGGCCTTGTCTATATTTGAAGCAATTAAAAACACGTTTTTCTTATAACATGATAACAAAGGCGGCTTGGTATCTCAGGCGATGTCCTCTCACATTCCGGAGCGGAATGAGCTAAAAGCGAGGATGGACGCTGTGTTGAGTGCACCTTGTATTTCAGTGGGCTCCGGCCTGCTCCATGTCCCCTATCATGCCGACCCACCCCACCAACGTCAGTTCGGCCTTCAGCCTCTTTGCCTCTCACCTTTCGGAACTCCATCCCACAGTCCCTTCACCTCACTTCCCTCCCTTCCCGCCTTCAAGGCACATCTCAAGACCGTCCTCTTTGACCACACCTTCGGTCACCCCCTCCTACCCCCACCCTCCCTGCCCTCCACCCCTCCTGATCCCAAACCCCAACTCGGGTGCAAATCCTTGATGTCAGCGGATTGGGATGTCCTCCCGATGTGAAAGGCGCTGTGTAAGTGTAATCTGTTGTTGTTGTTTTATTGTTGTTGAGTGGTTAGGATGTGGAATAGCCTGCAGGAGGGTTGGTCGAGGCAGAATACATACTGGCTTTCAAAAGGCAACTGAGAAGGAACAAACCACAAGGGTAAGAGCTGGCACAGACACAATGGGCTGAATGGCTTTCTTCTGCGCTGTGAACTTCTAGGATTCCATGGTTTCGCCCACAAAATACACAGTCAATTCACTACACAGTAGATTCTGTGAAGCGCTTTGAGACGTCTCAACCACGTGATGAGGGGGTGATGTCGAATGCAAGGATTATTATGATTATTATTATTCCTGGTCTGAAAAGGAAATCTTTTTTGCCCTCAGGCAAAGTGCAAAGATTTTCCAGCGTTCCTCTGGTTTCTGCCTTTCAACCGGTTCTGAGGTGAACGATAGCTTGCGTTGTTGGTGTCAAATCAGCAAAGCTTATTATAGCTACAGCCCGGGTCGTTCACATTTCATGTTTCAGTCTTCGAAACTGAAGATGGGACAGAAAAGCTACAGAAATAGTGCCATTGCTGCACCTCAGAGAGCAGTAAAGATCTTACACCCACAAAATACACAGTCAATTCACTTTGCAGTACGACAACAACAACTTTCATTTCTATAGTGCCCCTCACGCAGGGTAGCGTTCCAGAGCATGTGACGGTGGCGGAGCACGACAGTATAGTTTGTGAAGCACTTTGAGATGTCTCAACGATGCAATAAGGTGCTGTATCAAATGTAAGGATTATTATTATTATTACTGAATCTCATTCCTCAGGAGTTCAAAGGGAGATGGACCATTGGAAACATTCACGGACATCTTTCGTCATTTAAGTTAACTCCAAAGTAGACCGATAAGGATGGAGATAACTGGAGTCTCGGACAGACTGTATTTGTGTTTTTAGAAAATAAAATTCAGCAAAGCATATTTGGGAAGAATTTTTCACCATGAGATTTCTCGATGTCTAATTTAGCTTCTTACCTGGGCTTGTCCTGACTTTCAACAGTAACCTGAGCTTTTCACCCAAACTTGAATCTTGTTTCAGAGAGAAGCAATCACTTGAGCAGGTTCAAATGGGTTCTGTTTTTTTTTTGTGTGTGTGTGTGTGTGTGTGCATCTGTGTATGTGTGTGAAGATGTCTGTGTGTATATGTATATGTGTGCACGACTGGGAGTTTTATTTTATGATTATTAATTGATTGACTTATTCAGTAACAATGCAGCTACATTGACCTTGACAGAACGGTATTTATCAGGACCTTCTGGAGACCTCGGAGCCTTGAAATATAATAATAATAAAAACCATAATCATAATAATCCTTGCATTTGATATAGCGCCTTATCACGTCTTTGAGGCGTCTCAAAGCTTTTCACAGGATATTGACTGTATATTATGTGGGTGAAATATCTAGCAAAAAAGCCTGTCTTACCTGAGGAAGCGATGCTGGCCTGCCTTAGGCTGGCTTCACTGGAGGAGTTGTAGCCCTCTTCCTTCGGCCCAATGTCCTCCGAGTCTCTGTCGTCCATGCAGCTCCCGTCGAGCGAGCCCTGAGCTGCCTCGTGACCCTCGGCAATGTCCTCCTCGTCGCTGCAGCCTTTGGGCTGCACCATGTAGACCCCATCGGGGAGGCCATACGTGCTCTCACCCACCTTCAAGATCCTTTCCTCAGCGCGCTCCGCGTGTTCGTCCGTGTACTCGCCGTTCACCCACTTCTCAATGGCTTCCCGCCTCTTCTTGTCCTCCTCCAGCTTCTGCACGTCCCGCGGTCCTTCGGGGTAGTCGCCTTCGCCATCTTGACTCCCCGGGTGCGGCCCGAGCCTGTCCGCGCTGTTCCTTTGCTTGAGCTGCTGCTCCGGTTCCGCCTGTTCGGCCGCGCAGTCGTACACAACCTGCCGGCTCAGCTTGGCACAGATGGCATTCAGCTTGAGCCCGCCTTTCCTCTTGGCGGCCATCTTGGATTTTCCTGAGGTCCTTTTCAGTGCATAAACGTCATCAACTTCTTCGAGGAGTCAGTGGAACGTCCAACAAAAGGAGAGAGAGAGAGATAGAGAGAGGGAGAGAGAGAGGGAGAGAGAGAAAAAAACAATGAATAAAATAAGAGCGAGAGAACGAGAAAGGTAGGGAGACATTCTAAGAATCACAGTACAATGTTCATCGCTGTTAGAGGAAGAATGACGAGCAGTAATAAATTTACCGACAGGATATGTAGGAATGGGAATGCAAAGTGCCAAAGTTCATCTCAACAATGCGACTGTGATTTGACTGATCAAGGATAAAATAAATCGAGCGGTAATGAAATCTGTCCAGAGAAGCAAAGGACAAAAGTCATCTTCAAGACACATGGCAAACAAAGCACCTCCCAGAGGCCATGGAAATAAAAAGAACTTGGGTTTTATAGCACCTTATCATGTCAAAACGTCTCAAAGTGCTTTTGCAGCTAATTGTTGTTAAGGGCAGTGGTTGTTATTTGTTGGCAAAAGTGGAAGAAATAAGGTCCCGCAAACAGCCACGAAGTAAGAGAAAGACCGATTGTATCTGGGGGATAGTTGGCCAGGAAACCAGGAGAGAGAGAGAGAGAGAGAGCGAGAAAGAGAAAGAGAAAGAGAGAGAAACTCCCTTCTCTTTTCCAATAGCGTAATGTCGGGTTCTTTTAACGTCCACCTGACCAGGCACAGATGGTAACTCGGTGTAATATTTCTTCCAAAAGAAGACACCTGCAACAAGGCAGTACTCCCACCCCCTCCCTCCGCCACTGTAGTGGAATGTCAGATTAGACTATGTGAGCTCAAAGTCCAGATGTGGAGGGGGGGTCTTGAAACCACAGCGACCTGACTCAGAGGAGAGAGAGATACCAGCTGAGCCAGACTGCCAACTCTAACTGTTTACAGCATCTGCTTAGACAAGACAATATAAGCACATTCATCTCTGTTGACTCACACTATTGCAGAAGAGAAAGTTAGGCAAACAATTGCTATTATTCAATTACTTCCCTGACTCAAAGGGTGCACGGGGCTGTTTAAAGCCATCCTCTACAGCAGGTGGTCCAACTGGCAGCCCGTGGGCCGCATCCGGCCCACTCCTCCCCTTCCCTCCATTTCATCTGGCCCACCTACTCCCTCCATAACCTGTAAATATTATGTTATGTTTCTGGAAGGGAAACGTTAAAATATTGCTTATGCGGTCCCCAGGTGTTTCTCAAATAGGGCATCCGGACCTCAGCAGTCTAAGGGATAGACACTAATGGTGCAGGCTGACCTATCTTCCTTGTTTTATCTGCCTGAGGTTTTGAGGAAAGTACCTTGGGTTTTTTTCCATTGCATTTCCAAGTAACCCCCACCCCACCACCACCACCACCCACCCAAGAATAGAAGAATAGAATATTCCTAAAGAATGTTCCTGTGGCAAAAACACACTGAGCTTCGTTGGGACAAGAGACCTTTAGGGTAACGGGGTCTACAACAACAAGGTTTAGGTTTATATCACGCCTTTCACGTCGAGAGGATGTCTCATAACGATTCACACAACTCAAAAATATTTTTTTTGATTAACCCCGGAAAAGCGATCCGCCAATTGACCAACAACCGGGTTCCTACTTACTGCTAGGTGGACAGAGGCGTGTGGAGTAAGGAAACTTGGCCAGCGTTTCGCCCTGTGCCCGGGAATCGAACCCATGTTCTCTCGCTTGCGAGGGGAGTGCTCTAACCACTGAGCTACAGGACTCCACATTTGTGTTTTTAGAGAAACTGCAATGACATAGCCCAACGGAGGAGGGGACCAATGGTATCTCACTAGTGATGTGTCCATTGATTCATATGTGAAAAAAAGCACCTTGCTGATTCATTCTCCGCAAGGTATTTTTATGGAAACTCCCCAGTTACAAAAAGACGAATCTCTCCAACAATTATTCTGTTAATAACTCAATAGAAAGCTCTGTAATGGCACTTGTGGTATTTAAAGGCTGCTGCTTGCAATATGCACTGCATTGAGGGAACTGTCTGCATTGTCAGAACAATGCTTAGTAGATTTTATGGTTGTAGATATATATAATCCTTTCATTTGATACAGCCCCTTATCACATCGTTGAGACGTCTCAAAGCGCTTCACAGAATCTATTGTAAAGTGCGCCATTTGCGCACAGGGGTGTCCCACAAACAGTTGTGGATTGAGTGACCAATTTTTTAAAAATTATATATAAAACCTCTCGATGCAAAAAAACAGGCAGAAAATAACCGAAAGTGATGATCTTTCTCACTAAAATAATCCAACTATAATTAACAGCTGTGAACTCGGCACTGCATATAACACATGCCGGCTACCTCTCCAGATATGAAAACAGCTCCAAGCAGTTATGAAGCATAACAAACAATTCTGTAAGGTTACTTAATAGGGAGAGACAACAAGTTTTTTTAATTATAAAAATCAAGTCAAACCAGCTGCTGGGAAATACCACTGCACCATAATCACTGCTGTGAAACCCATTAAATGTTTTCTGAATCAGGTAAAAATAGTAACTTATTTCTCTGCGGAAAATATGAAGCAAAGCGTAAGCTGGAGGGGAAATGAGCGGAGCGGGTCGAAATGTCACTGCGTAAAAGAAAGGTTGCCCCGTGTGGGTTCTCGACAAGAATCGGGCACTCTCTCGGACATAAACCTCCCAGCTCAACCCCCCCATTGGATGACGGGCAGCACTGCCAACATTGGGGTTTCCAGAGGCCATTCTTTTGTGGAGTCCCTTAGCGTAGTGGCTAGAGCACTCGCCTCGCAAGCGAGAGGACCCAGGGTTTGATTCCCGGGGGTGATGTGGGGGGGTGAGGTGGGGGGGTGAGCGAAACCTTTGCCAAGTTTCCTTCCTCCTACTTTCTTTTCTCCGAATGCTCTGGTGCCCTACCCTGTGTGAAGGGTGCTATATAACTCCAAGTAGTTGTTGTTCTCAAAGTGCTTCACACAAGCTCTCTGGTTTAAAAATTGGGGTACGCTCCTAAGGTTCGTTCAGAGGTTTGTTGGGATGGGGTGTGTATGGCAGGGGGAGGGTGGGAGGGGGAGGGTAAGAGGAGAATAATCCATTCTGTCCCTGACTTTACCAGGGAGTGTCTCACGCTGACATTGAATGCCTCAAATGGAATTACGTTCCATTTTGCCGGCACTAACATCCCTCACCTTGATAAGCACAATTTAATCAGCTTCCCAGTCATGAGAGTGTAGCATAAAGGATCTGAAATGGTGCCTTGTGCTGTGGTGCTGATATTAAATGTCTGTGTGAGTTAGAAGGTTGCACTCAAACATTTAATAACTCCACTATCACACAATGTGCCATTTAGCGTTCTCTTTATATAAAGAGTGAATTTGTTTGCGAATTTACTGTGTGATCGGGGCTGCAATTACATTGGAGATTGTGAAATATCTTAATGGGAATTTAATGGAAATTTCATTCCATTTGTTTTATAAAGAGGGTGTTTTATATGGTTTCTCTATTACTGCGAAAGCCAATACATCTTATATCAGAGGTCATGGTATATCAGAGATGTCTTGCAGTGAAGGGGGTTTATATTTATTTGCATTTTATCTTGAAATACGGCTGACTTTGTTCTCAAATCAAGGACTGTTTTATCAACAATGCATTCGGTAAAGTTGTATTTTTTTGGGAGGGGGAGCAATTTCGTCAAGGCGTGATGGGTGGGTAGACGACCAGGGGAATGGGGGCGGTGGGGAGAAGAGGGGGTCACAGACGAGTGGACAGTAATTTGGAAAAATCATCTGGGAGGGGAGGGGGACCCATGAGGAAGTGGAAGACATAAATTGTAAAGTATTTTCACAGGAGCCTTCGAAGGAAGATTGAGGTCATTTGGGCGGAACAGAAAAGGTCATTTCTGTTTACAACACACAGTATTTCAGCCTCTAACTAACTGATTTCCTTTGTGGGAAAATGGCTTTAAAGGAGCTTTTCTCGCTTTCGTTTCCATCGCAGCCCGTTTCCCCCGACTATTTATATACATTCATAAACACTCATTTAATAGGCATTCTGCGGGAGATTGGAAAACAGAATATATGGAGGATAATACATGGTTGCTAGGGCAATCTGAGTTTTATTTCAGGTGCACAGAGGACCATATATCCAAGTCTTTCTCCTCTGTGCAGTGACAGCCCTATTATGGTGGCCAAATGTGTATTATTCATGTTATCTAATGGAAGTAATGAAAAGTGAGGGGTGAAAAAAGAGGAGGGGTTCTGGTGGTGAAGGTGGGGAGGGGGGAGAATACTTTTACACAGGCGAATGGGTCAGCCTGGCTCAGCTGGTAGCGCTCTTGCTACCGAGTCAGAAGATGCTGGGTTCGGATGCCCATGTCAGGGGCCTTTTTTTTCTGGTCACTCTCCTACCTCATCCCTCCCTGCCGTCCATCTCTCCTGTTTCCAACCCCCAGCTTGGGTGCAAATCCTTGACTGTCCAGCGCTTTGGGACGTCCTCCTGACGTGTAAGGCGCTGTGCCAATGTAATTTATTGTTATTGTTGTTAATAATAATAATAAAAATAAAGCTTGCATTTGATATAGTGCCTTATCATGTTGAAATGTCTCAAAGCGCTTCGCAGAGTTTTCTGTAGAGTGTAGTGACTGCTTATCCCTAGGCACATTTTAATAGGGACAAGGGTTATGCAGTTAATTCCTAGTAGGGTAGCCGTGGATAATAATTAATAATAAGAATTATCCTTGCATTTGATATAGCACGTTGTCGCATTGTTGAGATGTCTCAAAGCGCTTCACAGAATACACTGTGAAGTGAATTGACTGTGTATTTGTGAGTGATAACTGATGCACTGTACAAAATGCTAGGATAGTTATAATATGACATTTGCTGGAGTGGCACACTGTTCTGAGGGAGCTTTCCTCCTGTGACTGTGTCAGTGCTGTTCCTCCTGATTAAGATGTTTGAATTGATTCCCAAAACACACATATTTATTTATTTTTTGCCTTGCTGAGCGCACCGATGCCTCTGATTACT